CATTACTGACATGGTGTTGCCACTGAATGTCAGCGATCCTTCGGAGACAGCGATGATCGAACACAGAGTCGTCTAACGTCCTCAACTCGGAGAGACCAGGTTTCACAAGCATAGAGCAAAACTGCTCTCACCGACGCGTTGTAGATCCGACCTTTTACAGCCAGACTAACATCACGAAGGCGCCAAAGGTGGCCCAGATTGGCATAAGCCGCTCTGGCTTTTACTATACGTGCATTGATCTCATCACTCACACCCCCACCAGCACTTATGCAGCTACCTAGATACACGTACTTCTCGACTACGTCTATCTGCTCACCATCCAGGGTGAGTACAGGATTGGAATCCTGCCAGTCTTGTAGAAGTACTTTGCACTTCGAAGGTGCAAAGCACATACCATACCTACGGACACTGATTGCCAACTGATTAAGTGCGGATTGCATGCCTTGGGCATTATCGCACAGTAAGACAATATCATCCGCATACTCAAGGTCGAGAAGTCTTCCTCCAGGCAACAGATTCACACCACCATTACTTACATTCATCAGAGCTGTTTCCAGAATGTCATCGATGGCAAAGTTGAAGAGGAATGGTGATATTGGGCAACCCTGCCTAACCCCACTGCTCGAATTGAACAATGGAGAGAGGTGGTTGTATGCCCTCACTCTGCATGAGGTGTTTTTATATAGGGCTTTTAGGATGTTAATACACTTCTCAGGCACACCCTTCTTCAATAGACAATCCCAGAGAACAGTCCTATCCAACGAATCGAAGGCAGCCCTGATGTCAAGAAACACTACGATTGTTGGCCTTTGATAAGTATGGCGATGTTCTAACATTTGGCGGAGGGTGAAGATATGATCAATACATCCTCGACCAGAACGAAACCCAGCCTGCTCCTCGCGAGTCAATCTTTCTCGGGTTTTGAACAACCTACGAAGTATGACGGAAGCCAATAGCTTGGACGCAATCGGAAGTAGACTTATCCCCCGATAGTTGTTGCAGGAACGACGTGAACCCTTTTTAAAGATAGGGACAACTATCGACTCATTCCATGACGTTGGTACACTCTCTAGTTCCCAAACCTTTGTAAACAACGTCGTCAATTCCTTAGTCAAAAAGTCACCACCATCTTTAAAAAGAGCCGGAGGTAAGTCATCTGGGCCAGGTGATTTGTAACGCTTCAAGAGTTGGAGTTCCTTGCGGACTTCCTCCTCGTTTGGTGTATCAGTCGTCACCGGCCATGGAGGGCAGTACAGTTTGACCGATGTTGCCGGAGCAGCAGGCCAGTTAAACTGCCCTTCGCAAAATTCTGCCCATCGTCCAAGACGTCGATGGATGTTAGTGATTGGCATCCCATCATCCTTGCAGATTGTTTCGCTCACACCAGACTTCTTGCTGCCAGTGGCTCGGATGAGCTGGAAGAGCTTCCGGTAGTTACCAGATGCAGCTGCTGCTTCCAGCTCATTAGCACGCTTCGACCGCCAGGTTTCTCGGTCCTTACGCAAGCTTTGCCCAATTTCCTTACGTAACATCCTTCGTTTATGGTCAAACTCACGGTCACCCGGAGTAGACTGACGGGCTTCAATGAGTTGTAAGGAACCAGAAGAAACCCAGTGCTTAAAAGCGGGACGTTTCGCAAACCCACAACTGACTGTTCCCGCCATTTTCAGGGCGTCATGCAATTGCAACCAATGCTCATCTATACTTTTCAATGGAGTGGTAGCTAACCTAGAGGCTAGCTCGGTTCGATACTTATTTGCAACAGAAGTTGCAACCAGCTTGCTAATATCAATCCTTTGATGGCGGTCACTTCGTTGTCCACTGAAAAGTAAGGCAAGATTGGCGCAGACCAAGGCATGGTCAGAGTCCAGATAGGTACTCCAAAAGGAGCGGCAGTCTTTTACACAACCACGCCAGCGGAAGCTGATCGCGATGTGATCAATCTGAGTCCAGGCTTGGGATGCAGAGGGAGGACGCCAGGTGGCACATCGGCGATGACTGTGCCGAAAGTTAGTGCTAGCCAGAAACAGGTTGCGGTCTGTGCACAGTTGTAGTAGACGGTCCCCGTTATCTGACCTGCGACCAACAAGTCCCCATCAGCCACCTAAACGACTCTCTTCTGTGCCTAGACGCCCGACCTGAGCATTCAAGTCTCCGGCTAGTACTACAATATCTGTCGAACGCACTTTCTGGAGAAGAACAGATAACTGGTGGTAAAACTCATCCTTGATTGCATCCGGGCTGCAATCTGTCGGGGCACAGGCGGGAATGACGAAAAGACATCGTTTCTCACGGCGATTTCTTCTCACTTTGATGGAACTTTCTAATCTAACAGCACATAACCGACTGTTAATGGGGATCCAGTTGATTAGTGCTTCCTCAGCTCTAGCGCTTAGTGCGACACCAACGCCAGCAAGACCAGACGAAGATGCCACAGGGTCCCCGGATAAGCGCACGTAAAACAAGCTTTTTGAAGTGACAGATGTAGAGCGAATTTGTAGTACATCACCAGAGTCTTGAATACGGGTCTCGGACAGACAGCAGACATCGATATGAAGACTTTCCAAAGACATAGCCAGCCCTATCTGTTGACCAACCTGCATAAGTGTGCGAACGTTGAAGGCAGCCAGTTTGAATGGCGCACATGGTTTCAGAAAAACTGCTTCAGTACTCATATTTGATGGTAACATACAATTTTCAACCGGACAGTGACTCGAGAACGTTTAGATACAGTCGGATTTCCACCAAAGACGAGCCGCTGTATAAGTATAAAAGAAGTATATAAAAGAAGGTGAATAATGTGGATAATAATAATAATGGCAATAATAGTAATAATAATGGTATTAATAATGACAATAATAGTAATGATAATTATTTGCATCGATTGATTGTTTTTCAGAGCGAGAAACGTAGTTGCCATAGACATAGAGTTCATCGTTTGTGTGTGGGCTGTGATACTGCCCGGGTGCTCAAACCGAAGCAGGTGGTTATCTTAGGGGGCCACTCCCCAAGCCTTTGACCTAAAGGTCTAACCCACAAGGCAGTGGAGCATCGTAAGGAGATGCAATCCCATGGTAGCCGGTGACCAAAGATTGGTTCATACGCCATTTGTTCCCGCAGGATACTGGAGCCCATGTGCACCATTGGTTTGTGATCCGGTTAAAGCGCCGGACATTCGCTTTTTGTCCTCTCATTTTCGTAAACAACACCGCCACGAGAAGGCAATGAGTAGGACTTCCCTGGCAGAGGCTGTATACGCGCGGCCGTGTGAGAGTATTTCGAGAGGGGGAGCGAATTCTCCCCACTCTCGGTCGTACCAGGGCATTCGGGGGGCTAACTACTGATGAGATTTGATCGGACCATGATTTTTTATATTTAAAAATAACTTGGAAATCTAAAAAATCGGGGTTAGGGAGAAGGAATCAAATATATTGCACACGAGTTAATAGGATATACCGTAAACGCAGTAGGCTAATAATTCAATAGAATATATATCAAGCAAAATCCAAAACATTGTTCCGACCAAATATACATCTCTATATCAAGTGGAAAATTGTAGGCTTTTGTAGATCTGGAATATTACACAGAAAGTTAGTTCGAGTTATTAAAGCTGTGAACCAATATACATCTGAATTCCTTCATTGTCATTAGAATATCTACTTCACAACTTAGTAACTTTTTGCTTGATGATGTATAGATAAGTAATTAACTTGATGGATGTTTATAATTTAATTTCATATATTCTCTCCAGTAATTAGTTAAGTATATTCATTTTCATCAAGCAAAGCAATACCATTCGTTTAATTGTTGGTCATAATCGTCGTTTGACCTTCAGAATTCTCTTAATTGATATAAAAACTAAAATACTGTCAACTAACCTATGAGATCAAATTAGTCATCTTTTAATGATTATTTTAAAACTGATTTGACCTATTTTATTATGTTATATCTCTGTGTTGACTATTCCTATTTGTAAATGTTTTATGCGAATACTTACAGTACTTATTTACTTGTCAGTTACAACTTGGGTTGGAAAAATATCCGCTTACATTTTGAAATACTTGATCAACATATGTACTGTCGAATCCAGTTTCACCTGTGTTATGTATGACCAAAAGAATAAGTAGCATAATAGTGAATAAATTACACCGAATAACAAATATGTGTGGTTTACTTTGTTTTGGGTACTTTACTGTTGCACATGATCGCAGTAACAACACAAGATAACATCTATCCAACAAGTGAGGATAGAAGACAATCTTCAATGTACGTTTGTTATTAATCTGATATTACAATGGGAAAATAGTTGATTGATTTAGGCCTGTTAGTTCAACACTTACGTAGACATGGAGCATTTATATAAATCTAAAGTGTGCGAAAACTCTCATTTCGTCGACTAATAGAGTAAAACACGAGAATAGTCAGGAGGAATGCATATATTGTTGAGAGAAATTACTGTGTTGACATAATACATATACACAGCCTTTAGTCATCCATCTGTATCTCCAGATGTGTTCTGAAATCCGAACTATCTTCTCGTCTGGACTCCAAGTGTTCTGTCAACGCCGTGCTTTTGATGCACTGAAACATCACTTTGTTCGACATTTGTTGCAACTTCGACACCACGTCCCGCTGCACATCACTTACCAACATCCCTGTGAGCATCGTTCACTACAATAGTTCAAAATATTTCTACTCAATTTATTCATCCTTTTTATTTTCACAGCCACTTAACGGTTGCCGTTCTCATCATACAAGCCGTACTAAACAGACTTCGACGTTTTTTATAAATACTATAAGGTTGCAAGTTACACGGATTACATGAGTTTTAAAAAAAAGCAAAGTTACTTTCTCACAGATGGAAGAAATTGAGTCGATTTACGTTCCAACCACAAATGTGTCAATTACTAATTATCAGAATGGGTTTTGTGGAGATTTTAGAAATTTCACAGATAGAAATCATGAGTCAAACATAAAAAGTTCAACTTTACACTAGAATAGGTTTGCCACTTTGCTTTTTTTTAATAAGTGTATTTATCGAACGTAACAATTACAAAACATGAAAACAATAAATTAATCTACTAATTATATATATATATATATAAAAGAAATATTCTGTATTGTAGTTTTTTAAGATTTTCCGTGTTGAACTTCTAATTGCATACTTTCAAATGCATCACCTAATGTTTTACGAAGTTCAACCAACTTTTGATCAATATCTTCTATTTCTTTCTCGAGTTTATTCTTTAGTTCTTCTTTTTGTTGTATCGCATCTTTAAGATTTTTGCGTTTTATGAAAGAAGCTTTCTGACGTTCTGATGCTGCTCTAAAATAAAAAAATTCGTAATGAGAAATTCTGAAAACGAACTTTGAGGATCAACAAAGTAAACTTTTTGCCACAATTACGACAGCTATTGATAACAATATGAAAATATTGTAGTACGAAATAACTGACAGATCAAAATAATTCGAAACATAGTACAACTTTTGTTTGAATTATGTTCCTACTTTAAATAAACACTTAAAAGGAGTGGATTTATGTTTATCAAAAGATATCAATCCAGATATGAAGTTCTTTTAATTTATACCTAAATATCACCAACAAGGAAGAAACATTTATCAGAGTAGAATCTACTACACTCTGGTAAATCAAACGGCCTAACTGAGCTTGGTGAAGATCCTAATCTAATGCACAGTCTTTTTGACACTTTGAATATAAATTTCTGATGTTAGGTAAGCGTTTATATCTCTAAAGGTTGCTTCAGGAGTAGTCTGTCCCAACATCTAGACTAATTGTAACGACGAATTAACTGAATCCATCAATTATTCCACTTTACATGGAAGTTTTCTTGGCCTTAGTTAGCCGTTGATGAAAACTCCTGACTGATTCAGAAGGCTCGTTCTACTCTTACCAACTTTTGTAACTTGTGGCCTTAGCAACATGTCAAGGAACGAAGGGCTAAGTATATTGTTAAGCAGTCCCCTTTATTTTACTCTGTATCTGCCAAATGTGGCCTTTGAAGACGTAGAATCTTCATAGTCCACTAGTACCTGATCCTAGATCTCTTTGAAGCATCACTGGTATATTATTGAATAAATTAGTGAACAATTGAGAAATTACAGGTAGGGTACGAAGTAAAGATAGTAAACCGGTTGATGAGATTATGAATCTTCATAAAGATTTACAAACTCAAGGACAAAGGTGGTCGAGACATTTTTTACTTATGCATAGTCACCACTTGCCTCGACGTTCAATGTTTTCTGAGGTAGAACCAGATTAGGAGGAAACCACGGATGGCCAAAACAAAATGTGGCATCAGTCTGAGAAGTCATTATCTGCTGGCCTAAGTCTTATGGGTAGCTAAAACTAATTAGTTGAAGCTTCCATAATAACCGCGATTAGTAGAGACATGTGATGTGATTTAGAATAGATCACAATGTTGTAGGAACGTCTACACATTATTTCCACCTAGATCTTGTGTTTCAGAGTTCTATCATCCATACATTTCTTCAAAAAAATATTCTTAATGGTCGGTTTTGTTCAGTCTATTGACCCTATTATTATTTTGGCTCTTATGTTTTGAGTGAATATGATACGGAAACATGAATTAACCCACATTTGTTTCAGGTTCTACGTTGGCTATAACTGAATGACACTGCATTCAGTTGAAGTTCATGTAGATACTGAGGTGATTGTGTATTAGTCCAAGTTGTCACATTTTATTTCGGTATAGTGAGATAGGAAATAATATATAATACAGTGTAAACCTGAACATGAAATGTATTTTATTTGGTACGAATGGAAGAATGGAATGCACAAAATGATAATATGCTCATAATTTGAAGGACGATGGCGAATGCTATCTAATAATAATAATTTTCTTACTGACCTCCTGTTGGAAGAGAATAAGAAAAGAAAAAGTTATACAATATGTGTATCTGTTTTTTGTGTATTATTAAGCAATATATACCAGTGTTATTTTTGTAGTGTTTTTATACACTCCTAATTTTAAGCTTTAATTTCACTCATTATCCATAATAAATTATCTTATTCAAAATAATAGCCAAGTAATCATCAATGTAATCCGGCCTGGAGTTCTCTAGGGCTACTTCCTGTCACAAGCCCCGGCAAAGTAGGATGTTTAAAGGTAGGGTTAGCATCCGCGCCTCGAAAATAAAGAACTTCGCTAAAGAACTACTCACTAGAGTAAACCAAATACTCCATACAAATCTGTAATAGGGGTTGAAGGGTCTTCGCAGAGAAGAGTTATGACGCCTCTTGGTGTGACCCCAAAACCTTCGGTAACCAGTAGCTTGATGTCTCTTCTGACAACTGGAGAAACAGTTAATATAGGTTTGCTGAGTGTCTGAACAATACGGAAGACTAGGAGGGACATTTAAACGGGCAAAAACGAGGAGATAAATCCTCTGACATTATTCGAACAGAATAGACTAGCTTCAGGGGAGATGCCGTTGTACTCAGATCATAAAGATGAAAATGCCTCGCAAACACAAGGAATTGCACTGATGTTGTATAAAAAATAATAAATGAATAAGGGATTGTGATTAATTTCGTCCACTGCTACGTAAGCTCCATTGATGGTAATGATCAGTTTTATGAAAGGCTGGAATCGACCATAGCACAGTGCCCAGGAAAGAGCCTGGCCATCCTGGTGGGAGAACTAAACACCTAGGTCGGAATGGCTAGAACCAAGTATGAGGATATCTTGGGACGACATGGACTTGGAGAAAGGAACAAAAATGAAGAGAGATTAGCTCATTTACATGCCTTCAACAAAACCATTATAGGTAGTACCATTCTCACCCACAAATGCATACACAAAACTACATCAGTTTCATTCGACCACACCACAGAAAATCAGATCGATCACATCTACATACCCACTCCCCAGATACCATCAGAAATAACTTATTGTGGCAGCGGGCAAGCCAGCTGACGCCTGAAAAGGAAATTAGGAGCAGACAGTGGAGGTGGATAGGGTACACTCAGCAGAAACCATTAAGCTGAACCATAAGCAAGGTTCAACTTAGAATACTCAAGTCAGAAGGAAGCAATCGAGACTAAAGGAAACAAGGTGCCGGGAACTGGACGCGAACATCAAGATCATGTATAGCACTTGGCATCAAATGTAAACGAAAGCTCAGGACTGAGTCGCGTGGAGATCTTCGATCGGTGGTCTATGCTCCAAGAAGTTTAACGGGCTTGTAGTATGTACATTGTAGTCATATTTTTCACGTATATGACCATATAGGTGTTAGAGAAAGAAAATAAAACACTTATGACTTACTTGACCGGTCTTTCTTCTTTCTGACTAGTTGCTTGGGTTGTCAGTTAAGTGAGAGAAGACACAGTAACAAAGTATCATCAATGGCGATTAAAATAAAAATCCTCTACAGCAACTATTACTAGTGATTAACATTGATCAATTTTGATAAAAATTATTGAGATCAAAATGTACACAAGTGAATACTTACTCCATTTGTTTGTTGATATAATCAATTGAATCAGTACAGAAGAATCCATCCTGATTGGATTCGTGTAAACAGTTCAGATTGTTATTGACATCGGATTTTGAAGCTTCATGCTCCTCTTTATTGTGGCCCTAATTTAGAAAGAAATATAGTATCATAAAAACAAATTCTGTGAAAATGTGTTACTTTCGAAAAGTCTGTCTTTTCATTTTCTGCATGTTCATCAGAATGATTTTGATATATTTCACTGAGTAAATTATTCCAAGCTTGAATGAATTCCTTTTTGGCCAACTGTGAAAAACAAAAATTTATTTTAAGTTATAAAAGAAAATTATTCTAATAAATATGAATTACATTTAGTTCGTTTCTTTGTTGTTCCCATAATTCGAAATCTATTTGATTCTTGAAATATTTAGTTAGACAAGTATTTCTGAAATTGAAATAGTAAATTTTGATTATTACAAATTGAATATTGAGATAAATGATTGGAATACAATTAAAATAGTCATCGAACATTCGAAAAAATTACAAAGTGTAATTAAGATAGACAATCTGTAGAGATTATTGTGTTTGTATCCGAAGTGTTGAATAACAAGATTTGCCATGCTCGTTCGAATGAATCTTATTGACATGGAGTAAATCATGAGTGCCTTGTGTGTAACATTTATAATGTTTAGGGTCACTCTTGTATATGTTGAGAGTTGGGGTTGATTGTAGTGTTGAAAGGGATTTTCGACAAATAAATTTTGCGTCGGTCAATGAATTGTTGTATTTCAAGTAGCGTTTGTGTGGTGTGTAAGCGATGTTGTATCCCCCGAAAGACTTGATAGAGAAATGCACACATATGTGTCATTCAAATGAAGGAGTGAATGGGCTATCATTTTTTCCTTTCCGCTTATAACTTAAACAACAGAAAGCTATTTCAATTCATATCTCGGGTTAAGTAAATTTCCTTTTCTTTATAACTTAAAATATATCCATCCATTCTATGTTCATACTCTATTAGTTGGTCTTGCTTAACCTTAATTTAAGTAAATTTCTGTTGTTACGACTGTTGACCCAATAGCTTTGTATATGTTCTATAGAACGTTTGTGAAAGTTTAGTATCAGCTGAACAATAACATTGAAAAAATAATTGCATCCAACTAGTTCTGTAATAATAGATGAATTACTATATTTGGAAAATCCAAGATAACAATACTTAACATTAATTAATCATTATCTTTTAATGAATTTCACCATAATCTTTTTGTGAAAATCGAAATCCCTTATATTACAATATGTAATCTCTGATACCATTACTGATTTATAGTACGAATGTAAGGTATAATAAAATTGAATTCACAAGGGCTGATTAAATCAACCTGGTATAAATCAAACTACCGTTCAAGGAACAGATCACTTCAATGTGGATGGTCAGTACTGTTTACTATTTCCAAATATCTTTCAGATTTCAACAAAGAACTTAAAAAACTACATAGTAAACAGTTCAATCTTTTAATTGTTTAAAGTAAGTGCTATTTCTAAATGTAATTGGTATTTATTTAGCTATTGTTAGTACATAGCATCAAATAAGATGCTTCCATTATTCACTGACACTATATTGTAACTCTTATGCTGAAATCAGTTGAACAAGATTTGAAGAAACAGTCCTCTTTTTTTTCTTGTTTATGAATATATATAAGCTACTGTTTTATATCAATCTGTACATGCTTGTCAAAAATGTACTTAACCAATTCATTTCTAATAAAACATGAAAACGTACATATTTAAATTCATAGAAATATCATCAAGTTCAATGATTAATTGTTGAATAACATCTTCTAATTTAGATTTTGTTTCGAAATCATTTAAATGATTTTGCAAATCTTGATAAGATTCTTTGAAACATGAAGTAATCCATTCAGCATCATCATCATTATCAATACCAGTTTCATTATAATATTTATTCTCACTGGATATAATATCATCATTATCATTAAAGTCAGTATTTATAACAGTATCTTCATTATTCATTTCCATTATGTTATGTTCAATTGCTTCAATTCTATCCATTTGATGTAAACAAATTTGTTTTGATGAATTAGTTTCTAAATTATTTGAATTATTCAATTTATAATTATAAATTTTTTCAAATAATGTCTGTTGTTCACAATTACAATTTCTTAAACAAACCCATATAACTAAACTAGATAACCATTCGGTAGTTAATTGACATACTAATGATCGTTTCATATCAATTTTATTAACATTATTAACTAAATTTAAATTTAATTCACATAATCTTTGATTTAAAATTTGTTGCATATTTATAATTAACTTTAATGTAGATTGATCATTTAATTGAATAGTTAATTTTGTTTGATTAAATCTAAAATTAAAATACAACAGTTTATTGTAAACAAAGAGATTAGATATAATTTGAATTAAAAACAAATTAATGATAATAAATCAACTAGATTCATTTATTTTTGATTGAGATCATGAACCGATTGATGTTAGACCACCATTGAAAACCTGGAAGCACTGGACGGCCGTTTCATCCTAGTATGGGAATCCTCAGCAGTGCGCATCCACGATCCCGCACCACGCGGGCTTCGAACCCAGGACCTACTGGTTTCGCGCGCGAGCACTTAACTATTAGACCACTGAGCCGGCATCCAACAGTGTTAATGTCTAACTCCAATCAATCCACGAAGTTGCGCCACCGTACACCATTGTCTTCAGTGAGCTGATATCTCACAACAGACATGGTTGAACTCCACTGGTAACGGCTTCCCACTAGAACTCCAGGAGTATCTCTTGAAGTCAGTCACTAGTGAGCAGATGATTATTATCAGAAGGGGTTTGTAGAGATTTTGTGTTAATATTGTCATTTCGATAAAGGTTTTTTTCTATATTAAGAGATCTAGCTGTGTGGGTGAGACTTTTATATAGGCCGACTGAACGACGCTAAAGTGACCTTGCGGGAATTTATCCACTTTCTAGGGTTTAACGAGGGTTGTAAATTGGTGTGAGGAATTAGGATTAGGATTCAGAGTTAAGAGATAGGGTTGAGAATTAAGGTTATGGTTTTCAGCACGAATAGATACCAGCCATAATTCCAAAATATTATCTAGACATTTGGATGAATGGGCTTCAGGTAAAAACCCAAGACTAACTATAGTTAATCTCATTGGTTTGCCCATAAATTATAATCTCTCCTCTATCTGTAATTGTGTGTAGATAGGTATGAATAAAGTGGTATTCGTAGTGTGAATGTCAGGTTAGGAATATTTATATGGTTATTTGACGTTTATCTAAATAAGTTTGAAGCCTGAAGCTGCTTAGCTTCGAGATAATTCCTTAGACTTCGTTTACCAGTCACCCTGATAACCATGATTAAATAAATTCCAATGGTGTATGAATTCAGAAGACAACACTAAGCACCGACTACAGTTTATTATTGGATAGCGCAGGTAACAAAGTTACAAACATACCAAGCGAATTTGAGCAAAAAGGCTAATGAGCGCGAGCAAGCGAATACAGATACGGATTCAGAGTCAAATAGAATCGAAGCGAAGCAATTAATAAGATTCAGGCACATCAATATACAGGAAAGTGAACGATTCATCAAGCGATATTCGAGTAACTAACATCTAAGCTAGGGAGAGATATGTGCTTAGGCTGTCACATATAATTAAGCATACACGTTTATACAGACATGATAGTAATAATAATACCACAAAGAAATAGACAAATCGTTACTGTTCGAATAACACTGTCCATCAAATAAGTTAGTAAAAGGTCTCGACAAAATTAATCGTTAACGAACTTAATTGTAGGAGAGGTGCTATAAGCCATTCCGTGGATGTCCCAAGTTGAAACCAATGCACCGACTTAAGTATGTCAGCTTGAGGTGGATGGTTAGATTTGGACTTCCATTTGAATTTCTTTTGACTAAACAGTCTAAAAATAGAAGTTCATCGAGTTCATTTTTGAAGATGAATTATATGTGGACTGAAAGAGTATCCAATAATTTAGAAAAGTTCCTGATGAAAGTCTTTTTCATGATGATGAAAGCGTCATATACATATCTGAGCTAAATGCATAGTCTGACATTACTGATAGAAATATGCTGTAGGATCAGTGAAATGTCACTGCCCTAGACAAGTCGTCCGGCAGTCGAGTCACTGAATATCGAACAGTTTACCGATCTTCTTCAGTGTCAAGGACAACCAACGTGCATCAGTCAATTGCAAGCTATGGATTGCCCCATTCAGCAGAGGTCGCACTGTTCTGGTACCTGCTCTTATTCATACATTTCTGTCATAACGTTATGCTTTAGTTATACAGTCATAAAAATAACCATAGTTTCCGGATACGACGGAAGGGTAATCCACGTTAGGTACTGACTGTGATGTATGATTTTGACATAGGCTGGAAAGTCACACCATCCACTTTTAACTAGAGTAGACCCCAAATCATCGACACAGATCGCGGACAGCTGAGATCTACAATGGAATTCTGTATGAGACATTAACAAATTAGCAGCAATCAGTGGCACAGGTGATCCCTTGTCTACTCCATTAAGTTGTTTATGTAAAGTCCCTTTGAACGCAAATAAGGCTGAATTCAGGCAGATTTCGGGTGGTTTCATTATTAAGCTGATCCTTAATGGGAATCTGTTAGATACCATTCTCTGGTAAAACATCAATATTATCGAGACATATATTGATAGAAATAGGGAGATTTCTAGTATGTTAAGGGGTTTTCTGGGTTAATTCAAATTTAATCCTTTTTTCTAGGAGAGTGATTTCATGTTTATTCAGAGTTCTGCTTGAGATATCATAAGCTACTTTTAAGTCATCAGAGTCAATTTTCGTAATCACTGTTTTCTTTCCATTTATTCTTTCTCTAATCTTTTCACATTTCTTGATTTGGTTAGATTTTGAAGAACTTGTGTTAATTTAATTTGTTATTTTTCTCACCCTTTTGAAGAAATGACTTACGCTAAGTCACGAAACGTCAGAAATCTAATTCTATACTCATTGGGACTTTATAAATATATATTATTTCTATTATTAATTTTCTGTATGTCAAATTCTTGGCGTTGACTGAATGATATTGATCAAGTTGTAATGTACCTACTAAGGGGCGTAATTAGACACTGCAGTCTACTTTTTCATGTTAAATAGTTTCAGTCAAGTGTAAAGAAGGGTTGAACCTATCATTAGGCTTTGATCGGTATTAATCATCAAGGAGTGTCTGAAATTTCGTAATATAGTATGAGTATATAATATCATAAATATCACAAACACACCTTTCTGACGTGAGCTAATCGGTATAAATCTAGACTAAATACTTCCTGTTCACTACTTCGATTTATTTGACTTACATTATCCAATCGATTTTAACGAAACGTTTCAAAATACATAGAGTAAATAATAACACAAAAATAAAATAAAACTTTTGATGTACTTAGCTGTTTAAGAGTAATGACGATGAACAAAATCATTATCTCACTTTTCGGATGAATCAATAGATCGTCAGTTATTGCCATAAAGAACAAAACAAATGATCATAACAGAGGATAAAACGGCTTCTAGTTGACTAGCTTAATACATGACAGCATTTCAAACAGAGATTTTAATTAGGATAACTCGAAATCAATTCTTTTAAAGATATTTTCTTCTTTTAAACACTATTAGTGAAAACCTTATCACTATGTGTGTGTGCATGTACACCGAAGAGAGAATGTTGGTAGTTTGAACTTCATCAGAAGTTCTAATGGATTACATATAACGGCTGAACAAATATATCTTTTATTTTTGCTGTATGAGAGTCAACTGACAAACATTGTTACTGTCTGCCGGTTCATAATTGAAATCATTAGTTTTTGTCCAGTCCATCTAAAAACGCTTTTTACTATTAAAATGTCACGAAAAATAGTGGTTAAGAGAGAGACATTACTGATGCAAACCACATTGATATAATTCATAGATGAGAGATGAAGGCTATAATCACTTATTTATACGTAACACAGAATCTATCACATGTTTACGTTAGTTCAAGATTTCTCTCCCTGTAGTGAGGGAGAACACAGGTGTGGACAATTGGCTATATTCAGCATCAGATTACTGAGTTACTTGGTAAAATAGAAAAGCCATACTCCAATACTTCATTTGCAAAATGTTCATTAATTATCTCAGACTTCATTGTTCCTGCATTTTCATACCAATTTCTTTCTGTCCCCATTCTTCCCTCCTCGATCTTCTCAACTTTCTGCTGCCAGACATTCTATTCCTGACTAACGTTATATACTACTTATATCGACATAAGTAGCACACACCACAGCCCCAGTAGGAAAGTTATATGAAATTATCAAGTTAGATCCAAAAGTAGTAGCGGTAGTAACAGTATTAGTGGTGGTTGAAAAGATTTGGGATGGGAGATGAGGTTCATGAAGAAAATATGAACGAGTGAGATAAGAAAATAATTTATAAGGTAATTTAGAAAATTAGGATTTGAGGGAGGACAAAGTGTGAATACATGTGGCATATTGCGAACGGTTTTGAGTCATGTCGCCCAAAGTCTCTGACCACTGGTTATTACCAGACACCATTAGTTGAAAGACATAGCACGAAACGATATAATAACCCCCTTACCTCATAAAATACGAAAGGGGACTAATTGTAGTTAACCAAACTCTTTGGACTTGAAGTTTTGATTGAGCACTCTTATTGGGTCAAGTTCTGTAAATGGATCAAGCACATGAACTCCTAAGTTTAAGATGTCTCTCCATTCTACGAATTTTGAAAATATTACTAACTGGTAACTATCTTGTAGTTTCCAGCTTTCTTACATGTAGTTATTAAATGGGATAATGTGAACGTTTGACTCATTAACTATATTGTTAAAGTGAAATCAAGGATAACAATGATTATACTTACTTATCATTTTTATCACTATCTTCTTCTCCATCCAGAGATAATTTATCCACGACAGGATTCGATTGAAAAGGATCACAGTCATCTAGTTTCATTAAATCTTTCCATTTTTTGAATCTCTCCCGTAGTTTGTTTAAGTCGAAAAGTGGTCCTTCTTCCTCTTGTCCATTGTTTAAATTATCTTTAAGTTTTTCAATCATATGAACAAAAGTTGATATGCCTAAGTCATTTAAATCGATTAGTTTGATTAAATTACGTTCTTGAATTGTCAGTATACTTGATAATCTCTTTAGATCAGGAAAACAGACAAAATTTTAATGAGGAACTTGTGAAACGTAGTAGAAATATATTCATAATACACAATGTAGACCAAATTAAATAAGAGTATTTGTTAAGGGAAGAACGATATCAACTTTATGTTCTGATTTACCATATATTACATCCTAATGGATTCAAAACACTACTTGAAATGAATTTCTTCTGAATCAGTTAAATATACATATCAGAAGGAATTTTGTGGATATTTTAGTAATTTTAGTTGAGATCATGAGTCACTTGAAGCTAGACCACCATATAAAACCTGGTATCACTGGACAGCCGTTTCGTTGTATTGTGGGACTCCTCAGAAGTGCGCATCCACGATCCCGCATCTCGAGATTCGAACCCAGGACATAACAATTAAACCACTGAGCCGGCATCCAATGGTGTTAATGTCTGACTTCAACTAACTCACAAAATTGAGCGACACATCCACCATTGTCACCCGTGAGTTACTCGCTCACAACAGACCCAGCTGAACTCCACTAGTCACTGTTTCTCACCAGAACTCCAGGAAATACCTATACATATACTTAAAGTGCATTCAATCTAGCTGCTAATGTCTAATTTAAATTAACCTAAATGCGACCATCTAGGGTCAATACCCTGGAGTTTAACATGTGTACAGTTATAACGTAGGTCAATTTTATGTCTACTGGAGAATTTCTTACTTTGAATTTGTTTATGAACTTACGATCAAATAGTATTTTAAACAGTGACTAACAGTAGGATCTGAGAAGTGTTTTATTTTATTTGAGACTTGTCAAATGGATAGACTTTCATCGTAGTCATGACGGGTTCTAAATAAGATGAAAAGTTCGTTGTCAATTCCTGTCATTGGAACTATCCCAAAAACTTATAAAAGTATTCAAAATTGAAAAATCCGTTGAAGAATACCATATGCTGACATAAATGAATCAACTTCACATAGATCATGAACAAATGGGTAGAACTACTCATAACTAATAATCAGTGTTAAAATATGTAAAGACTAAAGTAATGTCATTAGGTTAGAGTATAAAGATTTTTAAGATAGATATATAATGAAATATCACATTATTTCTACTTCCTTTAGTTATAAACAGATAAACCATTCACAAAAGCATTGAATACATAGAGTTCTTATAGTTCTCGTTGAATGATAATTGACTAATGATTTCAATTGTTTATCGAGGTAAAAAAACAGATTATGGACTTATATACAGTTGATGAACAATTATTTTTAATTTGATTACTTTTTTCGAGATTCCGTATAATTCGGAGGTAGTTTTCACAACACCTTGAAGGACTTTTGAAAGCCAGGTAGCAAAGAATAGTTATTTCATCTTAGTATGAGATCATGGAGAAGCACTAAGAGAAAATTTTAAGAATATCATAAAACAACTTTAATGCTGTGTATATTTTTCTATAGTTCCTAATCAAATATTAATTTGTAACGAGAAGTATTCCCACATTGAACTATTCTTTATGGAGCATTCAACCAAATAATTAAAATCTAAATCGAAAGATTTTTGTATATATAATTCTGCAAGAAACTAGTCAATTTCATTTAGTTTTGATTACAAGTTGAATGTACCCAAAATACCTGTTATGTTACCCAAAAAAATTCAAAATCTCTTTCGTGCCAGCATATTTTACTAAGAATTATTTACATACCATTTACATGAATGAATCCACACTCAAGGTTACAAGCCGTATTAAGCGCATAATTTACATGACTTCTCCAACAGAGCTAAATAGTGATTGGATGTTTAATGAATATCAAGTATTTAAAGGTAGTAATTTCGTATTGATTGTTGGTCTGTTGGTAATGGTCTCATATTTAATCCGTCTAAATGTCAAGCTGTTAACTTTAGCATGAGACATGAACGAAATCTAAACACCATTTTGAGATCCCATAATGCTTGTACCATTGGAGACTCTTTGATTAACACAGTGTAGAAGGTCAGTTATCTTGGTGTCATCTTTTCCTCTGATCTGTCTTGGTCTTCCCATGTTTTATCGTTATCAAAGAAGGTTTTCCGTCTGACTTACTACATAAAGAGATTGCATACTCTTGGGATTACTCATCATTTACTCTTACAATTTGTCAGCTCTTGCATATTACCTATTATTCTTTACTGTTCTCTATTATTCTTTCCCGAGCTTTTGAGAAAAGACTTTGTTGTATTGTGGAGAGTGCTGAAGGCAGTTAGCAAGATGTGTGGTGAATCTTTCTAGGTCATAATTAATATGGTTGTGGATGGACATCTAAAGTCATGCAAACTCCTGGTAGGTGTTATTTTATCAGATACTGGCCATCTCCTTCACTCTTATCTTTCTCCTTGTATATCTTCTGGTAGGACGAGACGTGATTACATTAAAATCCATGCACGCAAGCAAAAGTATAAAAGTTCTATAATATCTTACCTAGCAAATATACTCTGTGACGAACAGGTTGTTAGAGTTAACCTAGTCAATAACCTGCATTCTTAATATGTCTTTAATTAAAAAAGTTGTACAGTTTTTCATATTTTTTAAAACCTTTTTTTCCTGTTTTTTTTGTCTTGTCACTGTTCTTTTTGCGTGAGTAACTTGTTGAAATACTTTGTGCTGAGAATTCTATATTGTACCAAAATATAATATTGAATAAAGCTATTAATATTAATGATAATAATAATTAATTAATTAACGTAAATTATCATAATGGATTGTTTTCCTTTTAAGTAGAATATTTGACAAATTTATACAACTTACACAAAGAATATCTTTTAAATCATTGATATTATTTGTTAAATTCAACCAATTAAATAATCCTGATGATTGTTGATTATTTAAATTTTCTTTCATAAATACAAATAATTCATGAAATTCATCTGTTGCTGATTTAAGTAGTAATTTTAAATCAGATAAATTTATTTCAGATTTTAATATTTTAAAAAGTTGTTTATAAAATTTTGGTTGTGCAATATTTTGTGAACTACAATTTAATCTTAAAGTTGAAATAAAAGTTCCATGTTTAAATATTTTATTATTTATTGTTTGATTTTGTTTAAAATTTTCATCATTATCTATAATAGTTTCATCATTATGTTTTATTTCATTTATATCAGTACTATCATATTGGCATGTATTCAAACCAATTTGATTAATTAATTCACATTTTTTCATTGTCCACAATTTATCTATTTTGTTTAATAACTAAAATTCATTAAAATAAATTATATGAGAATAATTATTACATTTTCAATTTGAAATGTATCATAGGAATATTAATTCTTATTGATATCATTATGTTGTATTGTTATCGATTTCCAACGATATCATCTGATACGCTCATCTAGGAATTTCATCTCACTTAGTTACTCTACATATTCCATATCGATGTGTGAAAAATGTCCAAGTTTTTTCAACTTAATTATACTTTTGTCAATAATCCACTTTTTGGATATCGGCGTTAAGTTTAGTAGTGATAGTAGTTGACTGAAATAATTAGTACGTGTTTGTTTGAAAAAACACATTGAAAAGGTTATTTATGCATCCCACGCCTGAATACTTAATAATATTTCACTCGGAGGTTCGACTTTTAATGAGCAATGGTTTCGATATATATACATATATATTCATGGTAAGCTTATTGAGCCTTCTGTATGCACCACATTAAATCTTTGTAAATTACTACTTAATCTATCAATATACTCAGCTATTCCGCTCTATACATTTCGAAGCGGTGTCAAAACTGATATGAGGAGATACTTCGTAAGCTGAATATTTTTTCTACAGAATATATGGTATCATGTTGTTATGAAAATTTTATGTTTGTATGAATATAGTTTTGCTTGGTAAAATTAGAATCTATGTTAACTAGATGAGTTCATTTTAGACAGATCTCTGTAACGAATAAATAACATACATAAATTGAAGCAACTCTAAGATCGAATAAGTAATTTAGCACAAACTATTTCCGTACGCTTGAATGGTTCACTGTCATCATATGAATGCATGAAAAATAATCTTCCAGCTACATTTTCTATTTGGCTTTTAAATACCACTGTTTTAAAATTAGGGTTAGACGAAGTATTGTATACGAACCCAAATTTAAGGTGTACTTTATTTTCATTAACTGGAGCCAGAATACAGGTTATAAAGTGATAAGCTCTTTTTTTATAAATTAGAGAGCACTGATAAAAGAATATAATTCGAAAAATTAGATGCAATCTATATCTGTCTCAAATCTATTATAAAATATTTAGTCAATAAATGAGTTCAGTGCAGCCAACAAATCAAGTGCATATAATAGACCGAACGCACTCATACAAACCGTTATTTACTGTTACTATGATTTATTTTGCCGATTAAAGTATATACTGACTCTCCATTTCCTACTATACCAATTATAGCACAATTATGAGCATAATTCATCAATACAGTTATCGTTTAACGAATTAAATATTCCTATCTTGCATCCAAAGGTTTTGTACATTTAATCATTTGTCAAACACTTAGTCTCAATGATTCTGCATTTATGTAATATTCTCATTAAGATATTAAAAATTCAAGTTGAGCGAAAAAATACATCATTTCGGATAGTTCCTCATCAAGTTTCTTTACTAACTGGTTATTATATTATTTAAAGTTGATTCATCGTCATTTATTTGATATTGATTCTATGTATAACTATCAAACGTATACTACAGTGTAGAGTTTTACTGAGGAATCAAATGAAAAGAGATGCTTCTGTTGCTTAACTTGTACTCTATACTCTTACGCTCAACCATACTTTTTTCGGCATATTCAAACTTTTCGATGTTGACCTTTAAGATTTATTTAGCTGTTTTATTACACAGATCATTCTCGCATATCATGTTTGATATACAAATGATATTAATTAGGGTCACATTGATTTTAAGCTTTCAATATTGTTATTACACTAACATCTTAACAAAGTATATTTCTCGACGTCTGACAAATTCTGTTTTTGCAATTTTTTTGGTACTCTTTATGTATTGTATATATGCTAAACATAACGACCTCACGATCTAGACTTAAAAAATAATAAACACTTGGTCAAATTTACGATCGCACCGTGAGCTGGTCTACAGATTGACAAAAAGCGTTGCGTTAACTTATCTGACTTTTGCATGTGTAACCGTAACATTGTTATATTATGGTTATATTATTCATATATAATTGGTATTTACCTTTCATTTATGTACACTTTTATGTCAATGTGAACTACATAAGCTGAGACACAAGCCTATTTTAATAAGGTGGTTGGCAGTGCCTTTTCGCTCTTTATCCATCAATTATGGTCTGTCTATTAATATGTATGCATGAAATTTATACCTCTCACGTACATTCGTGTCCAAATTATTTTTTACAGTTTTCAATAAAGAGATCCAATCAACGTATATGTAAGAATTTGATTAAGGAGCTATGTTTCATGGTCGTCATCAAGGAGAATCAACCAACGTGGCAACAATATTTATATACTTATATTTAAAATTCGTTTATCTGAAGAATTCAAAATTGTTTAAACTTTGAAAGTGATTAGCAAATAAGTCATAAGAAAGTAACTAACTTTTTGTGCTGTTTCTAGAATATCAGTCAGTAGAATGGTAGCACGCGTTGTATATTCTGGACTTCTATTTCTTTCCAAAGAAAAAGATAATATTGAACTATTTAGTTACATACAAATTTAAGTTTTTAGTAGAATAAATAAATTCATTTTCTGAGAAATTTTGAAATAGCAAAGAAGAAACCATGAAACCACATTCAGTAGATTTCCTTAATACATGGTAAAAACGAACTTTCAATTTCGATTAAGCAAATGCTTGTTAAATGTAGTTATTCAATACGTATTTATCAAACAAATAATGAATCATCTTTTAACATTATGAATACTATATTATCCAGCCTTGTTTAAATCAATAAACGCTGATCCATAAACTTATTTTTGACGGAAAACATTGAATGTGGATTATCATCTCTAAGGACTTGAATGTTGTTTTAAATATACAAAATTAAAAGACTAGTATTTAAATGAAGAATATTCTTTTCGATAAATTCTCTTCACGTTCTACAATTATATATCCAAATTAATAATCCGAAAAAATGGCCAGGTTAAGAGCAAAGTACATCGTTGAAAGCATGTGAATTTAGGATTGTGATAAACAAAATACAATAAAATTGTTAATGTCAAAATGGGTTTTGTGTAGATTTTAGAAATTTCACAGATTGAAATCATGAGTCAGTTGAAGCTAGACCACCATTGAATACCTGGAAGCACTGGACGGCCGTTTCGTCTTAGTATGGGACTCCTCAGCAGTGCGCATCCACGATCCCGCACCACGCAGGGCTCGAACCCAGGACACACTGGCTTCGTGCGCGAGCACTTAACCACTAGACCACTGAGCCGGCATCCAACGGTGTTAATGTCTAACTTCAACCAATCCACGAAGTTGTGCCACCGTACACCATTATCTTCAGTGAGTTCCTATCTCACAAGAGACCTGGTTGTACTCCACTGGTAACGGCTTCTCACTAGAACTTCGGGAGTTTTTCCTGAAGTCAGTCACTAGTGAGCAGATGATTATTATCAGAATGGGTTTCGTGGAGATTTTAGAAATTTTACAGATTGAAATCATGAGTCAGTTGAAGCTAGACCATGGATCGTGGATGCGCACTGCTGAGGAGTCCCATACTAAGACGAAACGGCCGTCAAGTGCTTCCAGGTTTTCAATGGTGATCTAGCTTCAACTGACCCATAATTTTAATCTGTGAAAATTGTTAATGTTAATATGATTCATATAGAATGTAAACTTGAATCAGCTTATATGTTAAGTAAAATTTTAAGATCCATGATCAGAATAAATATGGGTCAAGTTGGGTGAGAGAGAAATAATAGTGCAATTACAATTCGATCAAATAAGTAAGACGTAATACGGAGGGATGAATGCGAAGTGAATGAATCATGTATAGGAGAGATTAATGGTGTTTAATCAATATTAATAATAATAATAATAATAATAATAATAATAATAATAATAATAATAATAATAATAATACAAAGATTTGTGAATAAAGATAACAGGGACAATTACAATTGACTACGAAAGGTCATAGTCAAATTAGTTCATTCAATAGTTAAGATTACGATTGATTAGTTGGCCTTGATGTTGGTCAGGGGAGGAGGAGTGGTTGAATATATATTTCTTTTGTATGCAAAGCTCCGGTTTCTTCATCCGGATGGCTATTGCTTCAGCCGTTTGAAGGACATTCAGTCTGACCAGTTTTGGCAAAAATTACTTACCTATTATTATTAATTTGGATATATAATTGTAGAACCTGAAGAGAATTTATCGAAAAGAATATTCTTCGTTCAAATACTAGTCTTTTAATATGACGGGGATCTTTAAACGATATACAAAATTACTCATTTTATTTTATTTTATTTAGATAGACTAACCGGGTTAACACAAGAATTTCTGAAGTCAATTACAAGAGTTTGTTTTAAAATCCCTGCAAGTAAAATAAATGGTTTTCCATGAATTAACAGAATTTATACTTGTAATCACACCTGAAAAGGTCAAGTACAATCCTAAAACACATGCTTACTTCTTTGTCTATTATTTTTATTCACCTCATATTTGAAGCAAAACGTTTTATCTAAATTTCAGTCAGTTCTGTAGTTTCAATACTATTCAGCTATTTTTCTAAGGATTTACAGTTTCATGAATTTGTAAACAGTATAAGACATACATAATCCTGTTATGGTATTCTATCAGATTCCCTTGCATTACATACTTCCTAACGTTTAGCCAGCCAGATATGCAATGTAAAAAGACTAAACGCGCGAATAAATCTCTATTGCCAATATTAAACGAACATGTACGTACGTCATGCGTATATGTACATATTACTGAGCCGATCCAAACAATATATGAGGGCAGTGAACATAGCTAGAGGAAAAATCCACTCACTCACTGTAAGCCCACCCATGATGGTGCGTCTTACCTGCTATATGTTTTTCCAATAGCATATGGTCTATCTGGTCTTGTGGCAATATATTATCTATATGGTTTTGCCCACCCAATCAAATATTTAGGACCTAGAATAGGATTTTAAAATCTTTAAACCAAAGGACAGTTGTTTCTTATCCAGTCTACTACTTTTCAGCATCATCTGTCCATTACTCAAAACTCTATCGGATGCGGAACATTTACATTTTGCAGTGAATATGAAACTCTTGACCCAATGAGTCTAGATTTTAACGCTAAAAATCGCGAACATATTAAAATACTGATAAACAAATAAAAAATACTCTTGTCGATAAATTCTTTACGGGTTTTACAATAATATTTATCCACACTATTATTCCAAATAGTAACTAAGTTTAAGGCAAGTACATCTTTTAAATGTGTAGTATGTGAATGTAAAATAGTTTGCAAAATAGAATAAAATTGTTGAAATGATCAAGACAGGGCGTAGAAATACAAATCCAATCAAATGTTTTGTTTATGAAGTTATATGAATTCAATAGCAGATAATTCAATATGAAATAATCAAATGGGGTGAGTGCTAACTGAATTAATCGTGTGTTCGAAAGAGTAGTAGTGAAGTCAAACCAATGATAACAATACTAAGATATATGAATAAAAATAAAAAAGTGCTTCCAGGTTTTCAATGGTGGTCTAGCTTCAACTGACTCATGATTTCAACTTGTGAAAAAAGTAGTATTATTTGACTAACAAAGATTGTACATATATTAATAAAATTAGGTCATTCTACAACTAAGATGACTATTAATTTTTTTTGGTTAACCAAGGTAATAGAAGGGGTTAAACATATATCTTTTGCACATATAGATCCGGGTTTTTTTATGTGGATAGCTGTTGTTTCTGCCGTCTGGAGGACTTTGAGTCGGGTCGACTTTGACGGAAAATTATTGAGAATGACTGATTTATTCTGGTGCTACGATCAGTTTGCACTGAATGGGCTAGGGCACTGAGATTATGGGCTGACGATCTGATTCTATTATGAACTAACAATAAATCAGCCTCGAACACAGATTCTCCGTTTGATTTCGTAAATTCAACTTATGCTAATCCCATTTGGGGAATGGGGGTCAAAAGCCAAATATAAATTAAGTTGGAAGAATTTATTTCAGACATTCTTTATTCCAGATAGATGATGAGAGATACGAAACAGATAAGGCGAAAGTGCCAACTCAGTGAGTCATGTGTGACTCAATCTTTATAAACATAAAGGAGACAGACATGTACGTACTAAAATGTATATATGTATAAAGCATACTAAGGTTCATGCAAGGGCAAATATATGGGTGATCGGACAAATAAAAAATCAGAATAATTTATCTCGAAATGTTAGAACAGGTCACGTAGGCTTGTGATGACAGAGATTCGCTACAACGTATTTACTATCTTGGATATACTTTGCTTAGCCGAGCTGGAAGGTGATCTCGACAATGAAATTGTAAATTTCTGTATCTTCGATTAATAAAACATGCTCCACAAGAGCAGTCAAACTGAGAAATAGAAAACGAAGTGGACATTCTAGATAATTCACCTTTTAGCCTCGGCGTCATCATTGGGAGCGAGAAAAACGGTATTCTTAGTTTTCCGGCATTCAGTGTTCGTTGGATTGTTCTACCTGATCTCTGAAGTAATATCTCACCGGCTGCATTACTTCTGAATTGCAGGCGCATGAACAGGTATTTCTTATCCACTGTTTGTACTTCATGTAGTCTTGATTTTGTGGTCAGACATTTGTTTATAGACTTCCCAGGGTGTCCATTTTCCCTAAGAGTATTACATAAGACGTCAAGTTCTTGTTCACTTGTATCAGTGAAACATGGTGCGTATTAGATAACTAATAGGTTTTGTCGGGTTTCTTTTGTACTGTGGAGAAGAAAAGTTAAAGAAAGGTATGTACTGTACTGTCCAGGTGCTTTCACTATTTAAGTTCTTTTTTATTGACCCATCAGCTGTTTTCGTCAATAGAACTTCCAAAATAGTTATTCTGCTCACACTTCTTTAACTCTACATTTAGTGGTTGAGAGTAAATCGCCTAATAACTTTTAGTTATAACGTACTGTATTTGCGGAGGATGAACGTGCCATCCATATATCAACAGTAGGGTGCGAACTTTAAAATAAACTATTTAACTGGACCATTTTTTAAATTTAGCTATAAAAATATCAACGAGTATGTGACCTAATGCTGGACCCATTGCAATTTCATCGATTTATCTTTAAAACCTGAAATCCATATTCATAGTGCATCTTATCAAATTAATTGGAATTGTAGTAACTGCTTCGTTTTCTCTTAACTATTCACATATATATTCTACAGTCCCAATATGTGGGACAGAACACAGAAATATGTAAATGAATAGTTTTTAAAAGTAACCAGACTAACTTTCATCGCAAATAAAATAAAGGGTTTAATTGTATTTAAACATTCACAAAAATCTGTGAGAACTGAATAGCTTTTCCACCGTAGTATTAAACTCAGTGCATACCCAAGAAACTCTCAGAAATCCAACGCAGTATCTCCATATATTGTGGATAAATCTTAGCCATTAGACCACTGAATGCCAATTCAGTGGTACATATTTCTAACTTTAGTTAATCCATGATATACCGACAACTGAGTGCTGTTGCTAAGTTTTAACTCTCATTTGTGCTTAAACTCCGGTAGTCCTCAGTTCTAGAACTTCATAGACCTATACTGTAGTAAGTCCCTAGCAAGCTCAGGATTACAGTTTAAGTGAGGTGATTTTGTGCAGATTATCCTAATTTGTTGGTAGAATTCATCACAGATTAATATCATGTAGGAGTTGTGAGTGTGTACTGCTGCAAAGTCACATACAAGGTCGAGACAACTGTTCTGTAACCCTTGATTTTCAGTGGCGACGCAGTGCCCACGAATTTAAATGAAAATAATCTCCAAACGTCACTTTCAGACCAGTAATAACATTGGAAATAAACCGACAATCAATTCATTAGTTTAATGATATATTTATTAGATAAGAGGATGAAGCTACAGTTGTTTTGAAAAACAGCTTTTTAAAATGAACTTATAAATAACATTATTGTTATTAGTAGTATAATACATAATAGACTCATTAAACGTTGTTATAAAGTCAGTACACTTACTTTACGTTATCCTCAAACGTTGGATGTAGATAAATTTCTATTTTTTCAATTTTTTTCAACAAGTCATCCAAATGATACTTAGATGACATAAATAAGTATTCCAGACATTCAGAAAAGCGCATAATCCCTTCTGAACACGCTGCCAATGTTTCAAATAATTGTGTTATTAATTTTCTCATCAACAGAAATGATCGATCATACATAGTTAACCACTTATCTTTGGACATTTGGAGATGATCTATAATAGTCACCATGTTTCTATCACAAAACTGAAAGTATTTAAGATCGATGTTTTTTTTAGAAAAAACACACACTAAAAGATACATCGAACGAATATAACCTGAGAAGTTTATGTCAGACGACATTTGTAAATACAATAACGTAAATGCAGGGGTTTACAAAAATGTTGTCCTAGTAATTTAGATGATAGTTGAGAATTAATTAAATGAAGGTATTACTGTTCTTCAGTTGTGAAGTTTGAGTATCAGCAGTAAAATTATTAAAAACCATGGGATGACACATGTGTAGTTCGTATTAGCACGGGGCTCTGTAACATTAGGCATCGAAAACCCTGTTAGAAACCAACCCTAGGACTTCCAAGTTGCCAAGCAAATTAAAACCTAAAGTTTGTGCTGATGATGTCGTTCAGAAGAACGATGAAAGCTCCAAGGCCAAACCATCCAGCCCAGAGAATAAGACTCCATCAAAAGCCACCATCTTATTTCAACATAGTGCACGCAATGTTGAGTCACCTAGACTAGTGGCCACATCGCAGCTTAATCGGTAGGATTCGATCTGAACTAAGAAGGACCGGACATACATGACATTGATCACCACCCAGTGATCAATCAATTGTAAATACCTTTAGACTACTGAGTTAGAATTAAATAAATTCATATTTACAGCTTCAGTTACTATCACGTGGCAAGACATGTAGGAAAATAAATTTTCTAAGTTTAACATTTGTTTGTAAATATAGATTCTGTAAATGAAATTTACACTCGTGGCTTCAGTTTTACTAGAAGTCGTTCTTTATCAGACACTTTTGTGAATGCCCGTTCTATGCCATTTTAAGATACTTTTTATTAAAAACTAACATCGGTTGAAGAGGTACTAAAATTTAAAAAGCGTCAAAGAGCTGTTTATCTGGATTTCAAAATATCTATGATTAAATTTGAACCCAATGAATGAATGGTAATATGCTTGCCGTGATACTTGCATGTCTTGAAGTTAAAAACAACCTTCCAGTCATTTCTGTTTTCATATGCTTCACTAGATTATGTTAAGTCCTGATGTTAGTTACTTCTGAATATTGATTTTTACAGAAGATATCGGAAATATTGTTGAGTTGTTTAGTAAACGTGTTATCAAAATAAATGCCTGATGTCTCAGTGGTCTGAAATATAAATAAATTTTTTTAATGGTATGGAATACATCATGATTGGATGTATTACCTGAATATTTGCTTTGGTTTTACTGTAATATGACGAGAAAAATTTGGATTTATTCTGAATAAGAATACTGTTATGATCAATGTTTAAGCCGCAAACTAATCAACAGGCTTCAGATTCTGTACTAGTAATCCGAGAATCCGATAATGAAAGTGAAAACATAAAGACAATAGAAAATGGTTTATCTGACCTCACAATTTAAGCAAAACAATAGATGAATACACTGCATTCTGTATGATTTATTTGTAGCCAGATTTTTATAAACTGGAATAATTTGTATTGAACACTACTTTATCAATAACTTACTGTGTGAAAACAACTTTACAGTATCGTAAAACTAAGCCTTTGTAATAAACTAATATAACTATTAGATTGTTCCTTAATCACTCCTTCTTAAGATGGGTTTACAAGTCACCGACAAAATCAATCTCAAAAGTTATTCATATTCGAATGAACTTAGTACCTGTTCACCATATCAGTAGGTTGATTTTCAACCTATATTGTATTGATTTTGCGATCAGTAGATCTGGTATCATCAGTTATTCTGCATAATGTACAGTACTTAGTTTTTTTTAAAACTTCCATCCGATAGATTGTCAAGTAAAGAAGGACGAGTTTCAGTCCCGATATTATTCAAGTTTATCAATATTATTGTTGTGTCCTATGCCCCGTCAAATATCACGTGACCGAATCGCCGACTAGACCACCGGATTATATGATCTTGTCGCTGTGCCAAACCAGTGATGCGTTATCCAGTACGAGCAGCCTTGGGTCAACTCTGAGTCCTTAATGGCCCGTAAAATGGTAGCTTCTAGCTTAATTCAGCCCGTTCAATCCAGAACACAAATATCAGCTTCCACTAAATGGATTATTTATTTCAAACATACTTGGTTTATATACCATCCAAACAGACCACATCACACCAAAGGTTGGGACATACTTCAACTAATAGATCGGGTATAACTTAGGAATAATAAATCGTATAATAGTAACCAATAGGTCAAATGAAAGCTTGTAATGAAAGGAATATAGATATATGCAATCTAGTTACTGAGTAGTTATAAAATAAGAATATATATATGATAAATGTTCAAAAATAGTTCCCAGAAGTTAGATATAATCTAATCTTCATTAAAATATAACAGTATTCTACTCGAATAAATTCAGAATTGAATTATACGGGCCTAATATACACTGTAATAAAATATTTCAAACCTGTCTAGAGTATCAATTTCTCAAAATGTCTCAAAAATTTATAATTTAGTGAACGAATGGGACAAAATTAACAGAGAGACTCAAAGCCAGACAAAAATATGTTAGAAAAGTACAAAAATAAACACAGCTCGACAAAAGCTAACCAAATGAATTGAACCAACAGGTTTAGGTCTTAAGTTGTTAGTGCAATGATCTGAAATTTATATTTTCATATCATTTATCACATACATGTTTGCTTCAATTTAAGAAGCGACTACGAATCCGGGGAGGTGACTAGTTTTTTTATTGATTTAGGTGGTAGATATATACAGAATCTAATTAAATAATACGCTTTTTGGTTCAAAATTCCCAATAACTTACACATAATTTGATTCTTTTGCTTAAAATCTATATACTTTGGTAGTTGAGTACTTTTATCATTACCGACATTCAAGAAACTCAGTGAACTTCATTAGTTTCTGTAAATTAGCTATACTGTGGAATAAGCCGCATATTTTACATATAAGTTATTGAACATTAACAAACTGGATATTAAATTATGTAAACTTTCATTCATAAATTTCAGTTTCCGGTACTTACAATTCTGATTAACTAAATAGTTGTCTTGGTGAGCATTTAATATTCCTTTTTTGCTAATATGTTGTATTCACAAAAAGTATTATTCACTGAACATCCATGGTTTTATTTATTTTCTATTTAAAGTCCGTTTACTAAAGTTTGTTACAATCCAAACAAATTTAAGGAAGTAACTGCAGTCAGTAAATTATCTGAACATGTTGCTCACTTCCTACCTTGATAGAATACTATTGTCACTGGAAACCAGAAATATAAGCATAAAAAATTCCAACTCGTTTATAATCCTCTCATTGAAATTTTGCTTACCACTGATCATTTAAAATTCTTATAAATCAAGATATATATCCACTTATTTTTAAATCAAGTAACTTTGAAGACAAATATCAGGTAAAGGTAATGTGAAAAAATACTTTTCATAATACTCCGTACTTCGAGGATGTTCAGATACCGATGGTTACAGTACACTTCTTCTTTGAAGAGAACGGTGTTGGACAAATCTGGTATTTATTTTGAACTTAATGATTTTAGTTCTTAACCTTACAATTGCTTATATTATTTAGTACACTATGGCAGTATTCAAATAATCCAAACATTTTGCCGTTGAAATGACTTATTGTCTTTCCGAGTGTAATTTTGTTTAGGTTGAGTGGTTGATGCCCATCAACGCAGCATAAAGTGTCCACATGCACTTTGGGGATACAAAGGTTAATAGGCACAGGGGAGGTGCCAGTACCAGTGGTCTAGTCTCATAAGGATCTTGAAGTGACTGTCAGTCATGATATTAAGACCACGACCCATTGGCGGAGGGTTGCAGCTTAGGGATTTCGAACCCTCTGGGTTTTGAAACGGACATTCACTAAGTTAGATACTACCATGTTCACTACCGTATACATAACTTTGGTGAGAACTAAGCGTAAGAACTGCGTTCAGGCTGCAAACTCCTGTTTAAAAGGTGAATCGGATATCCCTAAAAAAATACAGAGGGCAGCTATCCATGCAATTCCAGAACTCCGTGGTTTACCATACAAAGAGCGGCTTGAAAAGCTGAACCTCTTTACTCTGTCCTGTCGCATACTAAGGGAAGATCAAATTTTGATGTACAAAATACTGAGAAATGATTTTGGACCTAGCATATTCTCTTTTTTTCTTCCCACTAGATCGGGACATCTCAGAAGACATGGCAGGAGAGTAGAAAAGCCAAGAACGAACAAAATACCCGTGGCATACAGATTTTCACACCGCGTCATCAATACTTGAAACCTGTTACCCGAAGCGGTGGTGTCCGCACCTTCAATTGACTCATTCAAGATGAGACTGGACACTCGCAGAAGCATACTAGAAAAGGAATAACATAGGTCGTAGGCCTTCTATCCTTACTATACAAATCTTAATCTGAAATCGGACTACTTCATACATTTGTTAACTCAGTTATGAGCTTTAACATACTTATTGTCGACTTTAAACTAAATTTTAGTTGTTTATACGTTAAAACTACCTAGTAACTAGCAAACTTTTGGTTGAAATCACTTCTGTGACCAAAATATGCAGTGCAGTATATCGTATTTTGGATGAAAGGGTCACTGAGTTGAGCTATAAGACATAAGTTACCGCATAAATTTGGGAAACTAGTCCATGAAACTGTGAGTTCCAATTGACTCTAGAGATTAAGATACTTGCTAAGCTTGGTGTGGAATACTACCAACTGATATTTTGAGTTCCTCTGAATTTTGAACTTCTTACAATTTTATTACATCATTCAGTAATATTGAACTATATTCCTGGATTAGTTTTCTAGTGTTATAGTGATACGAACGTTGAAGAAGCAACTTACTTACCAACTTTATTAAGTTAAGAGCCATATTAAAGCAATGACAACTTTCTTCTGCAAGTACTCTTTGATCACTCTCAGTTCTTTGAAGCTGAAGTTTATATAAGTTATGAACATTTAACACTTCTTCTTCATTTGCCTTTGTAGATGAAATAGCTTGCATTATCTACGAAGGTTACACAAATATAACAGATAAGCATAGCTTTACCTCTAAATTCAGATTTTTGATAGATGATTGAAGTTTTTCATTGTTTAAACTCGCGTCAGTGAGACACCTTGGGAAGAAATATTTTTAAAATCACAAACAGTACTTCAAGCAGTCCTCCAATTTCTTTTTGTTACGCAGACCCTCTACATTTATCATGCAAAGATCTTTTCTCCCAGAGATCACAGCTGAATATAGACTAAAGCTACTAAGAAATTATATACTGCTTACTTCTCACAAGCATCAATTAAGTTATTGAAAATATTTTCATACCTATCTGACAGGCTAAGAAGCAATGCCCTGCGATGACTTTCTTCAGGGCGTATCTACTTAAATAGAGATTTATCTTAATAGACAGACCTGAGTTATTGCCTCTCTGAAAATGTTTTGAATACCCTTTAATGCTGTGTGACTGGCTTCTTTAAACTTCTGAAGTTGTTCTTCACTTTCAACAGGTGAAAGTTCTCCTATATGCGTATTCTGAACTATATCAGCGAGTTTTTTAGACAAATATGCAACATAACTCCTATCGCTGATAGCATTGAGTTACAAAGCTGTGGCAAACATACCTTGTGTGAGACCTTTGCTTAGAAGCAATAATACTCCTAAGAAAATATCATATGAGTGCAAAGCTTGCCTGAATGAAGTCTCAGATTTTAATGCGATTTCATATGATCCCTCAGTTTTAGTCCATGTCACTTTTTTAGACCGTGGAATTTTTTCAGCTGAGATGTTGTTCCCAAAATTCACCCTTGTTTTGGGATCTATGAGGTGCCCTAAAAACTCGATCGAACTATACTTAATTATTCCCAAAGCTGACTTTCGTTTTCTTGAGGGAACTCTTTCAATATGTCATCTGGAACAAAATCCATATTTAAACATGCGTTTAATCAGTTACTACGTCTGCAAGGTCAAAGTAACATCTTCAGCCTTCAGTAATAAGGATAGGAGGTCTATCGACCTATATTATTGCTTGCAGTTTGTAATATTGTGGAAATTCAATCTCGTTTTGAATATATCAACGGAAAGTGCTGATATTACGCGTTGTGATAGGGAATTCAGTAATTCACTACTCGGTGCGAGAAACGAAACTCCAGACGTAAACGATTTGATTTCGGCTTCTGAACTTTCTTCGAATGTCCTCTCAAATGATCAGTCCTAGACGGAAGTAAAATATAAGACGTGGTAATACCAAGGTCATCGTTCAGTATACGATAAGCCAATATTAGATCATCCCGTATTTTACGGCAAGATAACTGAAATAAGTTAACTTGCGTCAGTCTGTCTTCATTAGACAGGCCAGATAGACCTTTGACCACCTTAGCACCTCGTTGTTGAACTCTTTCAAGCATATCTGCTACATACTTGAAACAAGGACTCGCTGCTTGAATCCCATATTCTAAATGTGGTTGCACATAAATCGGGTGTAATAATCTAAACATTTCATCATCTAAATACTGGAAAGACCTACGAATGGACCATGATACCCTGTAGCCTTTTGCAGCAGCAGCCTTACAATGGCTGGTGGTTTTGAGATCACTGCTTAGTATGACTCCTAAATCTTTATAGTTTCTTACTGTGGGTATCACGAACCCACATACGATTCATCACAGTTACTTAAATGCATCACCATACTCTTGTTAGGATTCACTTCTAGTAACCATCTGTCTATCCATACCACCAATGAGCTAAGATCATCCTGTAATACTATTCTATCTGACATGCTGTGTATGGGTTTCCGAATCTTTGTATCATCGGTGTAGAGTAGAAGGGATGATTTTGGTAAAGTTGGTAATTCATTTACATAAAGTACAAAGAGAAGAGAACCGAGGATTGTGCATTGGGGACTTCATGTTTTACAGGTTCCCAAGAGGGGAGAGCCCCATTTATCATATCCAATATCTTTTCCAGGAGCTCTAATATGCCTATTAATTTACCTTCATCCAAATCCTAATGTTAAGAGATTTAATCAGAACTTCCGAGTAGAAAAAAGTGTTTTACTGATGGATGGCTCGAAAAACGTCATTAGTTTCTTCAGACTCGTATTTCAGTAACTTACGAAAACAGACAGCTTTATAGACGTTAAGCGTTGGTGTTATTCTCGTTAGTTTCAACGAATACTGGTTGCTGAAGAATTTCGGTGAAGAATCGTGAGCATATTTCAGAACAACTCAAAAGTCGTCAGTGAGCAATAAAATATTTCAATGTTTTCAAAATGGTGTAAATAGTTGCTGCCGGAATGAAAGCTTTTGCACTACGAGCTACTGCTTTTAGTATCAATGAATTCCTAATGCTTCCATTCTGTTAACCTGTGTACACGATTTTGCTTTATTTGTATCATAGACACAATACATACACCTGAATACTTGAATTTCTTGAGGAACGAAAAAAATACACTTCCTACCTGTTTTTAACAGTACTCTTTATAGTAGGTTAAACTATCTGTTTCTAGTTTCGTTTTCAAGGCTGTCTTAATCTGAGGCTTATATCATTGTTGATTGTTGTCCATTGATTTAATTAATAAATGTAAACAGATTGTGTGCACTTGTTGCACCTTGACCCACTTTTCCTTTCGTTCACTTTTCAGCTCGAACTCACTCACTCTGAACTCTGTTTCACTTCATTACACGGAATACTTTTTAGCTGGACGCGAACCGCTTCAATCGTGTAGTAAATTCAAAAAATTGTGCCAATTACTTTTAGTTTTGATCATCAGATTTACATTACGCTTGTGTCAGTGCTACTTCTGCCGAATACTTTCGTTACTAAGTTTATTTACTGTGCTTTTAGTGTCATCAGCTCAGTGTTTCCTTGTTCTAACCACTGGTAGATATTCCGACGTGGGCTGCTCTTTACGTTTTCTCAAAACAGAAATCAAATTTAGGCTGGATGAAGACCCACCAAAGGCTTGATATTACATATTTTGTGCGTTCTTTTGTTTCATTAATTTTTGCTCTCAACAAACCGTCACAGAATACTTCTGACTTTTGTACCGATTGATGAAGGATGAAATAGTAATGTTAGAACAATTAATCTTAGAAATTTTAAAGCAAATTGAAGTCATGTTTCTTTGATACACTCTACTCAAGTGTCTGGATTAGGTTGCTAGTTAACATCCGTTCAAATCAAACTAACACAATTCAAGCCTTCCGTGAACATGAACAAAAGAGATGGTACTTGTATTAGCCTTGACCACACAGTTCTCAAAGCTGAACATGAGATAACTGGGAAGATGTATATTCAACAATTAACACGGAGTATAGGGGTTGTGGAGATTATTAAGTTTTTGATTCAGATCTTGAACCAATTAATGTTAGACCATCACAATTGAAAACCTGGAAGCACTGGACGGCCGTTTCGTCCCATTGTGGGACTCTTCAGCAGTGCGCATCCACGATCCAGCGAGCAAGATTCGAACCCAGGGCCCTCAGTCTCGCGCGCGAACGCTTAACCAACTGGACCACTGAGCCGGCATCCAATGGTGATAGTTTCTAACATCAACCAATCCACGAACGGCCGTCCAGTGCTTCCAGGTTTTCAATTGTGATGGTCTAACATCAATTGGTTCAAGATCTCAATCAAAAAATTAACACGGAGGTCGAAAATCCAGAAGGCGGGAAGAATTTGTCGAATTCCATGAGATAGCATGATTCAGCTCTACAGGCATGATCATTATGTATAACTTAACTCACATTAAATATATCATTCTATCTTAAGCTTAAACGTGTTCTTTAGAAAATCAAGACAATAATTGTTACGATACGATGAGTTAGTGTAGACAATGATGTAACTTCCACGTAATATCTTGTAGATTAGTCAGTCACATCGTGACATATCTACAATTTTAGGATAAGGTTTATTATAATAGAACTAATAACGAGTTGAACCATAATTCTACAAGATAAGGGTTGAGATACTATTCGATATTAATGGGGAGACATTTACACTTCATTATTCGTGGACGGCAATTATGATGAAGCTCATTTATTATAAAACCATCTCAGGGATGTTTGCACAACCTTTGGCTCCACACACATTCTGGAAACTGAGCATTAAAGAACTCGATGTTTTGGTCCGACAAATCTGCTTGGTATATGTAAATCCGTGGGATCCGATGAATCGCATTCCAAATTACCGAAAGAACTAGCAAATTTTATCGCGAATCCATTGAACATATGTTTTAAACTCTCCGTAGCCCAATGCAGATTACGTAAGAACTATGTGGGACCAGTGAAATGTCACTGCACTTTATACAAATCTTTCAGCGATGGAGTCACCAAATGTTGATCAGTTCACGGACTCTCGTCAAGTACAAGGACAATCAACGTGCATCAATTGATCGCACTCCATGAACTGGCACATGCGGTGGTGTTCGCAATCTCTTCCTTGTACTAACCCTTACTAATATATTTCTGTAATAACGTCGATTGTTTTTTACGATCTTCAAAGCAGCCACGGTACCTTGATACGGCGAAAGGGTTATCCACGTTAGGTGCTGGCCGTAAAGTGTGAATTCAACGTTAGCTGGTTGGTTACACCTGTCTAACTCAATCAGGCCCCCAATAATTCGATACAGATCATCTACGTGGGTAACAGGCAAATGGGCGAACCCCATAGTAAATCTTGTCTTCAAAACGGTTACAAAACACTAACCTGAGAACTATCAACCCGTAAGCTCAATCAACGCCTTTGTTAAAATTTCAGATAAGATTATTCTTAAGGGGTTGGTTAATCATCTAGAAAAAAATCTGATTCTTTCTGAAAAGCAGCTTTGCTTTATGACAGGTTATTCATGTTTAACAAACTTTTGAGAAGCCCGTGAAAGTTTTTTGAACTTTAAAGATCATACGTTACTTATAGATGTAGCTTACAATTACTTCAGCAGGATATTTGACAAAGCTACCCACAACCGTTCGTTATCTATGTTGGTGATATCGGGGTCAGAGTCAACTTATTTATGTGGATAAAGGATTCTTTTATTGAGCGTCAACATATGGTCGTCTAGCTGAGAACCTTTGACCAGCGGAGTGTCTCAGGGAACAGTTTTAGTGCTAGTGTTGTTCCTCCTGTACAAATGACCTTCCTAGTCTCTTAACACCGTCGGTTTAATCATTTGCTGACAATGTTAGTGCATAAAGAGCGATAAAAAGTAAAGGTAATAGTTTGAAGATTCAAAATAATTTGCAGGGTCTATCCAAACGGCCTAGAATTTGTAAGTTCATGAAAATGCTTTAAAAATGTTTGGAATTCCAGAACAAATTATTTAGAAGCTGATTATCAACTTTTCCATCGAGTCACCAAAGGATGGAACTCCTCACTTCAAAACATAATTGAAGCCCCATCTGTCAATACTTTCTTAAGAAAGTTGGACCAACCGAAAGACCTTACACAGGTCACCTAGCCTCTTGTACTATCCAAACTGAAAATGAAATACCAAATCCAGCTAACCGGAATTCAGGAGTAAAGAAATTTAAGGATATATTTGAATGTCAATGAGTCCAGAAATATGAGATCTAAGCCGACTAGTTGTTGCAAGGAATATGTAGTATCGCATACCGTGCTAATTTTCGCAGTCCAAAAAGGTGAATAAAGGGACTGTCTACAGGAATATATAGTAATGTCACCCTACGCTGAGTCATTAAAAGAAAGACCTGACGATTATTTTAGCTGTATACTTGGTAGGGAATATTGCTACCTAGACGCAGCTCATAACATATGGTTCACAAATTCTCCTTGGCAAATGTGGAGATAATAAACATAATATACATTATGGAATAATATTGTACTGCTGAAAAGTTTAGTATGTCAATTTTTTTAAATGCTTGTAAAGCATTATAGTGTATATAGAGGTGTCAATTCTACAAGTGGTGTGACTTGTTTATTTTATCTACATTTTTGTTTGTGATCTCTAGGACGTGCAAATATGAATTGAATCCTCGAATCAGGCTTCGTATGAGTTTCTGCTGGATTTATGTGTACTGGGAAATACAGTAACTTCCAGTTTCACTCGTCTTCAGTTGAAACATGTGACTCCAACTCTTCAAATGAAGAAGTAACAAAGCTGGGACAGGATTATACTTCTAAATATTCATACCCATGTCGCTGGGATCAACTTCCGTCAAACAAACATATCTTCGCCAATTATAACTTCCCATCTAAATTAATCTACAGAAACTTGCAGCCTGAGTATTGGTGGAGTCAGTATTCAACTAGTTTGAAAGATAAATGTCTGAAAAATCGTTGGTTGTCTTACATTGGGCAATGTGATGAAAGATATGACTTAACAGAGTATCAACTGATACGTGAAATTATCTGGGTCCTGCTTGGTGCCAGGCGGAGCTTTGTTATGCAATTATGTGAAAACCAAGTGGTAGATATTTGTTGCAAACCACATTTTGTATCTGTTAGCCATTTATCTTATAGTGCTCTTGATTCATTGCTACGGAAGTTCGTTGATTGGAATAATCATATACTATTCATCAGACTTGTAGTCCATTTTGTAGTCAACAGAATGGACTGCATATCTCATGCTTGCGCCTTTTCTTTTGCCAGTTGCTTGAATGGATTTTTGTCTCAACTTGATGAGTTCTTGCATGCGATGGAAAGTAAAAGCCGTAATCCAGGCATTTCCACTATGATCAGTCTTTATCACTGTTTGATCCCTTGGTGTAACCGTGTTAAGATACTGTCGAAAATCATAAAAGATGTCATTAAAAACGACCTTGATAACTTACGAGATACAAGTACGATCACAACTTTGCTGGATGCACTACATCATACTTCAGATTTACTAGAAGACTGTGGTTTTGACCAGTACATCGTCCAATTACTACGTTCTATGTTCATCATCACATTTCATCCATTCATTTCTTCACTAGTCCAGCTGTTTTCAGGGTCTGCGACTTTCACCGACCCATTGGTAAAATTGTTCGCTGATATAAATTTTAATATACCACCTAATGATCCAAAATTCTGGTCTGATGCCATTAAGCCGCGAAACAATGTGTTAGGCTCATCCCACGTACCGTATATGTTTCTTCCTATTATGGATGAGGTAGTCGATGGTCTTAAAACTATCTTCTTACTCATTGCGGTCTGTGAAAAAATTGGGGACTACTCCTTCCTCGAAACAGTTGATTCAAACTCTATTTGTATCTCTTTGGATTCTCTCTTAAGCGAACAACATTTTTGTCTTGAACTCAACCACCAAGAATCCTATACCTCGAAAAATTGTTACAAAATTGATGAATCAAGGACCACACTCAAATCCTTGGAGTCACAACTAAAACGTTTTGTTTGTAAACGAAGAATGTCAATTAATCAACAGTTGTTGAAGTTATTGCTTCTCTCACATATGCGTAGGCGAACTGTAGGAAACTGCCTAGCTGTTGCGGGAGCAGTGTATCTTTTCGGTGCTGGTGATAATATGAACGATTTCGCTCGCCAGTGTTTCAGGAATATTGCATTTTCAAGATCCAAGAAGCTGAACCTTGCTGAGCTCACCACTAATCTACAGAGTCAGTTAAGTGGTACTTTCAGGAACCGTCATGTATCTCATTCACTCCTGCTTCTAGAGTCTCCTTTCTTCACATTTGATCTTCATATGGATCAACCAGTTGATGATCGACCTATGGAACTGACTTTTGATGTGATTGGTAATTTAAGACTTAATTATCATCTGGACTGGCCAGCGAATATCATTTTGGATGAAAACAGTATTGGAATTTATAACGATGTCTTCATTTTCTTGCTTCAGGTATGTTGAACTATTCACTAGGATATGGCTTTTTATATGCTTGTACACGGTATATAGTCCTTAGCTTTCACCAACGAAATTAGAAATGTTCTCATTGATAAAAAGTGAAGTAAATGTAATTCTTGTATGTAATCCAGCGGTGAGCAGCTTATTCACCACCAGATAAATCAAACGTCACATAAACGACTCATACTTTTGATCAAATATACTTAAATACTGATTAATCGCAAAGAATCTATAGCTGTGCTTTCGTGAAATACTGAAACCTTAGTCATGTCTTAGTTCAGTTCACTCGGACTAGCATGCTAGGTTCGTATACGAACGTCCTCAAATCTTTTTATGATTGGTTCGTCTTATGATTACACAGGATCATGTATTACAGATTTACCTTTGTGCACCGAACAATTATTTGGACATCAAAGTACTTTAAAGTCTAACGTTAGTAGCCACCAAATTACAGCGACACTTGCTCGGATTGTGAAACATGTGTGGAATTATGGCTAGTTTATTTTCAGTACTGAACCTTGGTCGTTCATGGTGATAAAGATGTTTTACGTGTGCCCAACCACCACCTACTTCAATAAGCGACTTTAGGTGGTGTAGTAGGTTGGAAGAAAGTTAGGGGCGCCCAAATCAAGATGCGGAACTAGTCTATAAAGCTGTTGAATTGAGGTTTGTTGGGAGGTTCATGTACCAGGTTGGGGTTGATGCGATTAACTTTAGTAAATGGAGGCACCGAGTGGTGCTTCTCAAAATTGATGGAGATGGCACAGACGCATCTACTTGCTCTTTAATTATTGAGTCCTAGTATTGGCTTATACGTTTCTCACTAATTCATTCTCAAATCATATTGTTTATGCCTATTCTTTCGTACTGCTGATGTTATTACTACTACATTGTTTTGGCATGTTTCTTGATAATGTCATTTCACTGTGCTAATGTAATGTGGCAAGTTGGACCTATGAGCATGTGCTAGGTTCTACTTTGCATGTGACTAACCGACTGATTTTTATAAAGTGAATAAGCTAGTTTGCTAAAATCTTTTTATCTTGGCTCACATTCTGTATGCATTCATCGTAAGCTATCTTGGAGGCTGTACAAGCAAAGAGTTTATTAAAATTTTATTTTGAGCATTTCTTATTTCATGGGTTACGTACTTCTACAGATTTATCTATTATTTGCTCTTTTGATGAGCGACTGACTGACACGATTTATATAAGAGGCACAGTTCCGTTAACATTTTCAAGTTCCACTGTGACTTTCCCTGGGAGAAATACCACACTGTTCTTCCTAATCGTCTAAGGTGAAAAGGTGGTGTAACATTGGTCTTCCTCCTAGCTTATTTGCATGACAAGTAGTGCTAGTAACATTTTCAACTGTTTTAATTACTACAGTGTCTTATTCACTACAGTCTACCTTCACTTGATCTCCAAGTATGTAGCCAGGTTATTCTCAGTTGTACTGATCCCCATGAGCCACGTTCTGTGAGCCAAAAATTAAATATTGATATTGTTTCAGATTCATTATAAGGTCAGTCAGTCGCAACGTAGAACTTCGTATGTACGTACATCAGTTGGAGTTGCCATACAATATGAATAAGGGGTATATGTCAGTTCGTAAATCGGGAAGGGGGACCAGTCATTTAGTTGGGTGGTTTTCACCTGGCTAGCCTGCCCATGGCTGGTAACTTCTTGATCTTTATTAGAGGTGTTAAATAAATTGGAAATATTGCTGAATGTAGTAACTGAAATCTGTCATCACTGATGTACATTTGTGTGATTGACGGAACCAAAAAGGGTTGGTACTAATGAGCGAAGAGCTCATGAACCGTTTTTGGTGGTTTGCTTAAATTTGATTGCTAATCTGATCAATTTCTTTGGGTCTCTACTTTGTTATTTGGGGGGTTGATTGTGAATACAGTGGTCTTGAGTGCTGTTAGAGGTATGAGGGCGGTTATCACTTCCCGGTTCCCCATACCGTGGAAGGGTTCTTCTGGAGGTATCTGAAAAGGAAATTGGATTAGAGGTGGTCTTAGTAACCTTAGAGTGTGACCGCAGTGCCCAAGGGACAACTGCATGAGGTCGGTCACACACGACCTTTTATGAGTAATTTTCGTGTTAGCTCCGTACTTGTTGAGACCTTACCGCGGAGACGGATATCCGTGGGATAAGGCGAGGTGTGCATTTTTAGGGTTGAGCTTTTCTAACATCACCCCTCTTTTGTGTGAAGGCAGCATCTCTATCATGCTGGTTGTCTGAAGGAAACACCTTACTGCTGTCACACCTCTGTACAGTCAGCAGTATGACTTCGCCTTCGGACATAGGGTTCGTTGCTTTTAGTCTTACGGCTCTTCAACCGACCTGTCTGGTATGGTAGAATATTAAGAAACGATTGTTCCAGCCAGTATAGCTCGGTTGCTTCATCATGATGGGCAAGCCCGACCACGACGTCTAGATAGAAACAACAGTCGGGTTCGGCTTGCTTGGCTTTTGCCAAATTACGTCACCTATGGCGAAGGTGAGATATCCGTCAATCAATAAAAGAACGAGTATACTCCTCAGCAGTTCGTTCTGTTTTACTTTACGGCTGCGAAAAGTGGCCATTAAGAGTAGAAGGTACTCGTAAGCTACTAGTATTTGACCACAGATGCCTTAGAAATATTGATGGCATCTGCTAGGACCACCGGGTGAGTAGTAGTGAGGTTAGACTCAGAGTACTATGGAATGATGGTAAATCAGTTGATGTGGTTTCGAATCTTCATTGACTGAGATGGTTGGGCCACGTGTTGCGTATGCCTGGACACCGAATACCATGACGCACAATGTTATCCGGTGTTGATGATGGTTGAAAGAAAGAGGCGGCCAAACCAAAACGTGGCATCAGTGCTCGGAGTTACTAACTTCTGGTCTGAGCCATGTTGGTAGATGCAGAATACTTGGTTGGGGTCTGTGTGAATATCGTAACCAGTGGTTGGAGATTCTGTGTGACATGGCTCAGAATCGATCACAATGGATTATGTGTGTACACACTTTCTCTTCCCTTGAACCGTGAGATTAAAATCGCTTTATATCTTTCTTTCTACGAACTAATTCTTCCTGTATTATATCATTATATGCAATCTTTCTTTTATGTATTACTACCATTGAAGTAACTACTACTATAGATTTGGTGTTAATCTTAATGTGCTAATGAGGTGGCAACTTGGACCGATGCATATATATGCCTGGTCCTACATTGTAGCTGACTGACTTGTTATTTGGGGGGGGGGATGATAGCCACAAGCTATATGGTGGTTTATGTCTTGCCATTTGTAAAGATGGAATTTTAGCAGTTTATAAACTTTTAGTCATTTATTCTCTACGGAATTCGACGCAGTCATCCTCATATTTTTATTTGTGCAGTGTCGTTTAAACACTTTTGGTCACTTGTTTCATTTCAGCGTTTATCTCAATTAAATGAAATTTTTATTACTTATCCTTCAGATTAAATACGTTAAATGGAGTCTTGAAAACTTACAGTTCAGCACTCCAGAGAAAAGAGTTTCAACTTGTTTCCCCATCAACCACTGTCTTATCATATTACGTATAAAAATGTTGTTTATCTTCACAAGCCTACATGATTTCTTGGCACACAGAATTGAAGCTATCCGAACTCGATTTTCATCTAAGTGGTGTCTTCCTGAATTTTATTCTACTACATCTATCAATCACAATATCCCCGAAACAAATACTTTCTCTGATCTTGTGCAAGATCATAAAAATTTGCTCAATGAATTACAGTCCGTGTGCCTATTAACCGAATCTACTTCGCTTCTTTTTACAGAGACATATAACCTTTGCAATATGGGCCTTCAGCTACGAGAATTATGGTTAAAGAGCCTTTTATCTCCAAACTATGAAACTTCACGTTTTACAGTAAAAATTGAGTTTCTTTCTGAGCAATTTGACAATCATGTACAGTTCTTTTCGACAATGCTAACACGCGCAGTACGTTTGAGTACTGCTAAACAGCTTTTGTACCTGTCAAGTTCTTTTAAAACTGCGGCCTCGTTTCCTACAAATATTTTTAAATTAATTCCTTCCAAATGACACTGTCATCGAATATGTATGAAAAATAAATATTTTTCTGTGCGTCATCTTCTTTTAAAATTTATTGTTTCATTAATAAAGGAAGATTTACTTTTAGGTTAAGAATGGCTTCACCAATAAAATCCATTGATAATTTCCTAATCTCCTCAACTCCACATCACTTACAGATCGAAAGTAAAAACAATGTAAAACGGAAAGATAAGAAAGCTAATTTGGATATTGAAATGAACACTGATGGTGTGGAGACACCTCAGGATAAATGTATATTTCAGATTAAAACGAAATCTCGAAACAGCAATAACAGCATGGTCTATCTAGAAGATGCTTTACGTTTGGGCTGGACATCTCAACGTGCGAGTTACTTATTTGATCTCTTAACAAGGCCTCCGCTTCTTTTTTCTCCCAGCATGGGAATCAGTCTTTCATTCGAAAAAGGTTCGCAGAATAATTATCAAATTCTACCCGCTAACAAACGAAATCGTCCGATTGATCCTGATCCGTGTTTGTTATCGATCGACGGTCTTCTAGACTGTTTATTCGTAACGAATTCTTTGGTTGATCAAATCTATCATGACTGTATGGATAATCCAGAAAATCGGGGGACTGATGAATACGAACACTCTCCTACCGTTTTGGCTGCGAAATTCTTCCGAAGACGAGGTAATGTATTTTTTAATTCGCGTGGTGTTTAATTGTCAGGAAAACTTCTTTTAATTACTTTTTCTCCGTAGTTATAATCTATAAGTTTTTTCTGTCATTCACATAAGCAATATAATATTCTATGATGTTGGATAGTTAAGTTTGTATTAGCCGTAATCTACCACGCACTTTATTATTAATCTACATCACTGATAAAAGTTATCTTACAGACATTTTCTTTTACTTGTAGTGAAGCCAATCATTACTCGATTATCAGAATTCCGTCTCAAATTGTCGGATTTCAAGCTGGGCGCATGTGTTGGTAGAGGGGCTTGTGGAATAGTACGTGTAGTACGTGAGGTATCGCCACCTCATTCAGTGTATGCAATGAAATCTCAGTTTAAAGGAGCGTGGTTGCATCATGATCCGGTAGGTTTTCTTGATTTAGTCATCCTTATAATTTCTTTGCATTATTTGCCTATTTAGGAGGGCTCTCAGATTCTGCTTGAAAGGACCGTGTTAGCGCAAGCAACTGCCATTGAAAATCCATGGCTTCCACACCTGCATTATGCATTTCAGGATGAAAAGCACTTGCATCTTGTGATGGATTATGAACCCGGTGGCGATTTGTATATATTCTTAAGCAAGTGAGCGACCTTCTTACTTGACCAATTTTAGCATAAATTGTAACTATTGTTTGCTATATGTGCATCACAATGAAAATTAGCTAACAAAGTTGTCTTTAGCCTAAGGTAGAAACTCCATACTAATCTAGGCTAAATAAAAATGTCTCTACCAAAAACCGCAGGTAAAGCGTTGGAACAGAATTTTATGTAAATATCTGTATAATTCTAAAATTAAACAAACCATACTAATCGGAGTAATCTATTTCATATTTTTGCTTTGATTGGATGTATAGAAGGCAAAAATAAATGAACAACTTAGCTCATTGCAGAAATGCGCGTTCTACATTGTTGCATCTACACGTATAATAACATGAGATGATTGCTGCTCGTGTCACAGTGAATGATATGTTTGTATTTTTGGGAATCGATTATAGATAAGCCGCTTTACATCGACTTTATATTTGTTGATAAACAAAGACATATTCAGTCCGGACAAGGTAGTTTATTACACAGTCCAGTGTCAATTCTGTGGGACTGATAAGAACACTACCCAAGTAAACCCTCGTTTTACAGTTACTCAACCAACATCACGTGTTTTCTTCGGTCTTATATGCTGATGTTAAGGGTGATCAACGCAAAATACAAATGGGACTCTAACAAAAGACTTTTACATTGACGTGCTTGTCCGGTTTACTTATCGTGGTGATCCGATCGAGGTATTATTGACTGGAACAAATGTTTCTTTAGGTCTCATGATGCCTAACACGTCGATTTCAGAATAGTTAGACTAAAAGCAGCAAACTCATGGTCAAATAGCGAAGTCATACTGCTGACTGTACTGAAGTGTGACAGCAGCAAGATATTTTCCTCAGGCAACTAACATCTACAATGTTGCTGCCTTCTCATAACAGAAAAAAGCGGTTAGAAAAAAATTGACCCTGATAATGTCGCGTTTCACCTTATCCCATGGATTCCTATTTTCAGTGTTAATGTCCTTCCAATCACGAAGCGACCACTTACAGAAAGTCCATATATCCCTTGGACTTTGTGACTATGTTCCCAAGTCACAACGATTGCTGATAATCCAGGCTTCTTTTCGGGTCCCTCAAGGAGAAATACCCTTCTGCAGTGTAATAAACCGGCAAAGATCAACAGCCCTCATGTCTTTAAAAGCACTTATAGATTGTGTAGTAAAATTTAAGTTGTGGTTGTATACTGAGTAAGTTATCTATTCACAAAATAAGTTATAGTTCCCTCAGATAGAGATTATCAACAGAATGAAGTATTTCGTTTCCAAGAATATCAATGGTTTGGAAGAGTTTCGATATTTCAAATGTCAGTCAGTCAGCTACAATGTAGGACCAGGCACATATATGCATCGGTCCAAGTTGCCACCTCATTAGCACATTAAGATTAACACCAAATCTATAGTAGTAGTTACTTCAATGGTAGTAATACATAAAAGAAAGATTGCATATAATGATATAATACAGGAAGAATTAGTTCGTAGAAAGAAAGATATAAAGCGATTTTAATCTCACGGTTCAAGGGAAGAGAAAGTGTGTACACACATAATCCATTGTGATCGATTCTGAGCCATGTCACACAGAATCTCCAACCACTGGTTACGATATTCACACAGACCCCAACCAAGTATTCTGCATCTACCAACATGGCTCAGACCAGAAGTTAGTAACTCCGAGCACTGATGCCACGTTTTGGTTTAGCCGCCCTAACTTTCTTCCAAACGTCTCCAATACTAATCATCTTATTGTGTTAATGAGGTGTGGCAACTTGGACCGGTGGATATATATGCCTGGTCCTACGTTGTAATTGGGTGACTAACTGATATCATTTGCACTTTGTCACTAATATTTACTTCTTTCGTATATCATCTAACTAGTGTCTCAATAGAGCAATGGGTTGGTGGTTGAATCTTTCTTCTTTCAATCACGATGTTAAGAGTTCGCATGTGGCTATAAATATTTCCATATAAAAAACCGAGTGATATCATTAGCCTTGACGGAAGTGTGGCTAAAACCGGGCAACGTATACTTAATTACTAACTTGCACTACCATCAGGTTAACTACCAAGTTGGGACTGACTCTACTGTAGATTTTCCTGTAGCTACACTTTTTGGCTAGTGATTTTTTTTAAAATCGAGCATCTTGAATTGTTTCAGATTAAAGTCTCTTGATATATTTTGCTTTCAGAGTTGGTCATTTGTTAGATTCAAAAATGATACAGTTTTATTGTGCTGAAGCTGTGGAAGCCGTTCATTCATTGCACCAAATGGGCTATATTCATTGGTATGTTTATTTATTGGCAGTTTATTCTTATTGTGATTATATCTTCTCAAATTCTCTAGGTAAAGATGACTTGGAATTTCATCATAGTTTCACTATATGACTTCCTATAAATGATAAACCATAATTATTTTTGAGGACGTTTTTATTGTTTTTGATTTTGACTAATAATTGAAAATTACTTTTTTATCTTTTAGTGACCTAAAGCCTGAAAATTTCGCAATTGAAAGGAGTGGACACCTGAAGCTGATTGATTTCGGTTCGGCTATCAGGCTTGATGCTGATGGAAAAGTAATTTCAAGTGTATAATTTTGTCTTATATGTGATTGTTTAAATACCTTGATGACTATTCGTGGATTAAACTACATTTTTCAAGTCAATTCCAAAGGTCTTATTTCGGCGAGTATAAGGATCGGTGCCTGGTTAACTAGGCTGTTTATCATCATCGACCATTCATGTTTTTATGGGGTTATCTTATGATTTACTACCTCTGAATCTCTGATCTTCACTAATTAGCGATTCGCTATAAATTTAGTCTTTGTTCCGTAACAATATATAGAGTTGTTATTCTTAATTGTTTCTGCTTTTCTTATAGCTAGTAGCCTTTTCCATCTACTCTAGTTTTAAATATAAGTTTGCTTTTTTATCGCTTGGTTTTTGGACAACTGTCAAAGTAATTGTGGTACAATTCTTTAAAATTTCGTTTCAATTTATCCTAAAAAGTCGAAACAGTAAACAAATAAAATTGGACTAGAGATTTTCATTATTTTATTTGTGACAGCTTGTGAAGGAAGACTATAGGAAAATTATTCAGGAAATGGTGAGAAGTACTATGAGATATAGTTCAAATAAGGACATAACCGAAATAAACTACATTCGGATAAGAAATGCCTCTTGCCTTTTATTAAAAGTAATGGAAGATCAGGATACCTGTCTGATTTTCACTTAAGCGATGGTTGATCACATTTTAATCTGCCGGGTTACTTCTGATTCCTGGCTCTTCATTTAGAAAGTTGTGATGAACCGGTGAGCACTATTCCGATACAACTTTACTTGATTCCGCAAAAACATCCCATGGAAATATAAAACGAAACTGTAGAATAGATACTATTTTGTATTACCAACTGCTCAAGGTATACAGAAATATATAGTCTCAGCTCATGTGTATCACTTATCATAATAAATGTTTTTAAATATTTACCAAACCTGAATAAGTGGTGAGCAAAGTGTTTCGATGAATAATCACTGAATATATTTGTGTTATTTCGTAGACAGATCGCTTTCATTTCCATCTTACTTGAATCAAGACAGAAAACGAAACTAATTGGTGTTTAACTATAATGAGCACGTGTATCGAATGACTGATCGATAAGTTAATGGGGCACGGGTTTAAAATTTCGTTGGTTAATCCACGTAGCCTAAACTTGACACCCAACCTGCTGGTTTTTCCACACACCAACGAATGATGATAATTTGCTGTGGTATGGTAGCTGTTACCATCGTGCGGGTTGCTAGTTTCTGTTCATTTTTTCGAGTGATATGCTACATCACCTTGGTATGATAGGTAGTACATGGAAGAGAACAACCACCTTACCATAATTATGAAGTTTTGTCACTCATTCAATAATACCCAGTCAGAGTGAGTCACGTTAGATACTAACTAATAACTAAGAATGTCATTTACTTGATTTCGCCAGACCAATTTCTTTCATAAATTATTTCGACTCAAAATGTTAAATTTTTCATTTTATCTTTTCTCTAGTTGAATCGTGTTTAAACCGGTTTTTGTATTGTTAATGCATCGACACATGTTATGGTTCACTAAACGTTTCGCCTTTTCTATTAAAAAAGATGAATGCAAAATGAATACACTTCCCCTCACATACCCACTAAATCGTCTGTATTTTATGAAACTAGATTTAATTGTAAGCTTTCATTCAGTCCGCATATGAATTCCTTTGACAAGAAATATAATATACACTTTAGTTATTCATCAATCAGTCATTTAGTTGATTAGAGAAGTTTGTTTAGATGTGACAATAATGTTTAACTGTTTTTGATTTAGTGACTTTTTAATCGACTGCCATTTTTATTTTGAGCACCATTACACATATGTTCACGTGGTGAGTTAATCTGATTGTTCTTTCTTTTTTCTTTTTTTTTTGATTGACATTAGTGTGTCTGTCCTACAATGGTTGGGACAAAAGAATATCTGAACATTGAACTTTTACGACAACGTGGACGTCATAATCAGGAACCATTACTTGTCGGCCCTGAATTCGATTATTGGGCGATTGGTGTCTTATTATATGAATTATTTTATGGACAAACGCCCTTCTACGATGAAGATGATGATGCAATGATGCAGAAAATTATGGATTATCGGGTAACTTCTTTCATTATCATCTGTTTAATCAAATAATGCTTTATTTGTATGTTTTTTTTGTGAAGAAAACACTAAAGTTCCCTGCAACCGCTGAAATAACAGACTGTGCTATTCATTTAATTAAATCACTAATTATTAGTCCATCGAAACGGTTAAGTTATGAAGATGTTGTTATGCATCCATTTTTCAAAGATATTGATTTCTCTGCATTGAGACAAGGTTAGTTATTTTGTTGCTTACTTCTTTTAATTTACGTTTTATTTTGTTTATTTGTTTTAATTTATGACGTATGTTTTGTATTTGATGGATTGTATATTTTAATCTAAGTCTACATTCAGGCAAAGTTGTTAGTGATAAAATCCCAGACGTATTTCTCAATATGTATCCCTCCAGTGCACTCTCATCCAATCACATACTTAGTCACCAATGCATATAGGTCTTTTTGTCTCAGTAAATATCAAAGTTCTACCATTATAAGTCGCTTATGCGTCTTCTTTTACCCTTTGTGGCACATCACTGCTGGTTGTCTCAAGTCTGTTTCTGTCAATAATTGATCATTCATTGATGTTGTCGATAAGCCACAATTCTCTGCATTACTTTCATTCAATACGCATGATTTGAATCTGAGTTACAACAAAATGTGTCTACAGGGTGATGAGTTTCGTGGCTTTCTTTGGATATGACTCGGGATTCCTGAACGTACGTTTTAATTGTATACTCATCTTAAGTTTTCATTATTTATGATTCCTGTTGTCTTGTTTTGTATAGTCACTCCTCCATACTTGCCCCCAGTTGGTGAGTTAGACGATGTTTCAAATTTTTCCGGCGGTGGTTCTCGTGCTCGTGATGAGGCTATATTGGATGTCTCTAGGAATCAGACTTTCTCCCCAATACGTTATACAAAGTCATCTGTTCAAGACGGATATGTCACTCAGTGTGCTACTATAAACAATGAAGAAAACGAAGAAGATGAAACTGTGCTGGTAAAGCCTTTAGATACTGAAATTTTGAATGACGAAAATCAGGAGAATATTAATCCACATAAATCACCGTTATCCCCCGAAGTATTAAAAAGAAAAGCAATTCAAGAAGCTGCTGCTGTACCAATAAATGAAGAAATTGAAGAAATAGAAGATATAGAATGGGAAGGTTCTGAGTGTGTCCGGGACTTACCATTCTTGGGATATACGTATACACCTGGATTGGTATTATTCGGAAACCTTTCCAAGAAACAGGTTCATTCGACCGCCGTTGCTCATGTTGGAACATCAGTAATAGCTAATATCAGGTAGTCTTTAGTGTATTCCAAATACTCGGGTTGTAACCGTTTTGCTAGCATTTAATTTGCCAATACTGTTGGTCTATCTGGACTGTTCCTGTTTTGTTAAGACTTTCAAATAACAGTCTCCCAAATCTCTTGCTAATTGTCATTGTCTTCTGTTTTCTATATTGCAACCGTGTGTGTGGTAGCTGCTTCAGTTGGTCCAGTGTCTTGAATATAGTCATTGGTTGGTTATCTTGTTGATAGACCTTCACTACCATGATACTTAATACTTTCAATAAGCATATCTCATATTCTCATATTTTGCTTTCATGTTGTATCATATAAACTGAGGACGATATTCAAACAGATCACGATTCTCAAAAGTTAGGTCCTGTTTATTCAGATTAGTACCCACAAATGGTCCTAAACAGTTTTTATTCGTATGTTGCTTATATTTCCCAAATTCACGAGTTGTAGAATTTTTTTCAAAGTTTTCTTCCTATACTTGTAATCCACTAGAGGATCCTTAACAGACATTACCGTGATGTAGTATGTTTCAATCTTATTGTAATACTTTTTATCAAATGACTTAATTGAATGTTTTGTTTAGAAATTAGTATATTTCTACTACAGCAGTTTTTAACCCAACAAATTTGACTTCTCTACTAGTCAGATTTAATTTTATGATGTATTTTTATTATTGTTGGAAATTTATATTTGGGTCTTAAAGCCAAATTCTTGGTTGAATGGTTATTTATCATTTAGTTGGAGTCTTAGTATATTACTGTATGTTACGTATGTTTGGTCATTCATTGCTTCTCATTAAAATTGAAAGAAACAATGATTTATCAGGTAATGTGACTAATTTATCAAGTACAGATTATATTTTTTTTCCTTGTTGGCTGTTTTCGTTGACGCCAATGATGGCGAAGTGTGGAAATGGCAACTATTCTGATGGTATACATTTGGTTGTTTCTTGCTATTTCGTTCTACAATCAGTTATCGTTCTTGTCTTTTTCATATGTTGGCCACTGCAAGTTTCTCCTTGAAAGATTTTCAATATCAATACTTTTTTTAAATATGTCAATTAGTTAGTTTCTTTCTGATGACTAATAGAATTTCCAATTTTAAGGTTAAATAGGATCTAAACTTTTTTCAATCCGGTAAATTTGCATAATAATGTAGTGAACGAGAACACAACTGGGTGCAATCGAATGTATTTGAAAACAAAATTACAGAGCACCGTACTAAAATCTGATAACCGTACAGTAAATACTTCATTTGCAAAATATCATGTCGATATAAGTAGCACACACCACAATACAACCGCATAACTTGTTATACTTCTTCATATCATGTTTATAATGCCACTATCTGAAACTAATTAGCCGTTTTATACAGACTCTTCTCTGTGTCACAGTTCGTCTTAGTGAGTATAAAGTCCATAATTAATGTTGAAAATAAAGTTACAGTTAATTGTAGCATATGTCATATTCCTCAATATTATTTCTAAACCAGAAACTTTCACTTTTATTAATATTGTATTATTGTTCCTCCTGCTTCATTATTAATATAGCACACCTTGCAGACGAACATTTATTGAAAACCAAGATTCATTATCTACATCACTTAGACATAGCATTGGTTGTTCTGAAGTTGGGCGACTTAAGGATGCCAAAAAAACGAGTGATCCTGAAATTGTCAGTTTATCTGAACTTCAGCAACGTAATCGACAGTTATGTGAACAAATTGAACAGCTACAACTACAGAATAAAGAGTCTGAGGTATGTTGATTTTTACGATATTTTATATATAATCTTGTTATGGGCCGATAGTCACTTTATTTTCCATTAGTTTGTCAATCATTAACGAAATTCATATCATTGTTGACAGCGTTTGTGTCATTCACATGTTTTCACAATAATTTCCTTATATCTTTCATGTTGTTTTACTTTCAAAACGTGATTGTTTCATTTGTCCTACTTTGTTCATACTAAAACTATTTATTTGTCTAGTCGATCTTAAGAGCAGTATTTGGATTCGTCAGTTATATCACTGGATACTTCTGAACGTTTGGATGTTAGTACTGGTTTTCATCACTTTTGTATATACTTGTATTCATGGTACATTAAAAAAACAGCTTATTTATTTTCAACCTATCGTTATCCTAGGTTCTATCGTCACAACAGAGTTATATTCTCTATTGTTTTTTGCTTTTGTTAAAAGACAAAAAGTGGCCAGTATTTGACGTTTATGTAAAATACGTTTTTTTGTATTGTCGCTCACATGTTCTTACAAAATATTTAGACAAGACCTACATAACTACGTTAAACTGTTAACTAGTAGGAAAGTTTAAGCATATGGTCGTTGCAAATGTTGATCTATTTTCGTGTTATTATTTCTTTAATTCTTTAAGGTCAATTAAAATAACTCCCTATTTGTTGTAGGTTTTTTTGTTAACTCATTAAATGGCGTTTAGTTAGTAAATAAAACTGTTTTACAATTTTGTTTTATTTGTCTATTAATTTATGTTTTCTTTATGGTTCATGTGAGCTTAACTAACACTTAACAGTCACTTGATATATATCATTTATTTGTTGTATCTCTTCTGTTTATGTCTGTAAGGCAATCCGATTGTGTAATTCACGTTGTTTATTTATGTTGTGTATAGGATTTACGTCAACGATTATTAAGTGCATTCGACAATGGTCATGTCCTAAAAGAAATTAATGAAGCTGTACGTGTTCTTTCTGATACAGTCGTTGAGAAAGAAAAGTTAGTCTTCTAATTCACTTTCATATAATTAGGGTTTTTTGTGTGAAATTTTTTTACCGTAGTGCATTTTTATATGATATTGTATAATTATTATTGTTTCTAAGATTTTTATTAGCTTTTCTGTTATTCCAGTTTTCAAGTTCTTCCCTGACGATAGTTACTAATCTTACCCATAATATATATCGTTCCTTTTTTGTTCGTAATAGGTCTACTGTTGGTCATTTGAATTCTAGAATACAACACCTTCAGGAAGAAAATGTTCGTTTGACTGCTTCAGTACAAAGTTGTCAACAGGCACAAGCTATAGTGGATCAATTGCAACACGCTGTGGTATGCATTTTTGCTCTTTTTAGTATTATGATCTTAGTATAATCTTTTGTTGTAAGATGATGTATGCCATTTATTGTTGCTTGAGTATTTCTCAGAAATCATGAATTCAAACCCTAAACAGAAATGATTGGTGGCTAGCAGTAGAATCCAGGATGCGCGTTTCGTCCTATTTGTGACTTGTAGGTTGATGTTCATTCCAAGACTCGAACTAATCTACGCAATCGATCAATTTCTTTTGACATATATGCATCTTGTGCATATTGTCTAGATATTGACGTTTGAGTCCCGAAGTAAGCATCAATTCTAGAATCCAGGTACATCTAGTTGACGAGTATCAGATAGGACGAAACACTCACCCTGGATTCCACTGCTAATGACTAGCCATCTCTGGTTATAGTGTTTGTAAATTAATGGCAATATCAAGGCACATATTCCGAAATGAGATTGGTTAATTTCACTCTTAAATATCAGTGGGAAGATTCAAACAACCGATACAAATCGACTTCTATGCTGAGAAAAATCTTTACTCCATTGGTTAGTGCTATTGACGTACAGAATTTCTAAAGTGTTAAATTTCATTTCCAAATCAGTAAGTATGATATTTTAATTTATCACTTCGGGTGTAATTCTTTACTACTAAAAAAGAAGCTACTTAATACTCCATCGTATTTATGCTCGATAATTTTATAGGGGCTGTAGACGGACCAACATTTTGTATAAAGAAATCTTATTTTATCATTTTCTCACGGGCCATATTTAGAGATTTTCCATTGTACGTTTTACTAACTTTTTAAGTAATAAAAAGTTACAAGTAAATTATACGAAATAGTAAATTAGTTTTATATTTCAACTGTGTTTAGGAGAAATTTTATCTAGTCCTTTTATATTTATGTGGGTCTTTATTTTGTAAACTCAAGTTATTTGTTTGTTAATTTCAGTATCTTAGTTGCATCGATGTACTTGATTCTCCAAGCCTTTTCTCAAATAAATTCCTAGTAGTTTAATATACTTGAATTCAATGTCTTTTGTTGTGGGGATGAAAAATAGATCTACTTACTATAGTATTGTTATTCTGGATACATAAATATGTTCCTTTAAAGCATAATATTTTAGTGGAGTTTCGTTCTCTGAGGTAGTTGGTTTAATCGTGTAGTTTTCATTATTCTTCTAAGTAGCATCAGCATAAAGTCCCAGTGGAAGTACGTTATTCAAATTTCTGGAGATATGATGGACAACTTGTTCTCTCCACCATCTCGACAATGTATTTTTAAGTTGTAGATCCATAAATGTTGTTTTTATTATTTTATCGCTATTTCTTTCACATTGTAAGAAACTTATCATAATTCAGCACTCTGTGATTTTATTCTACTTTTAAATCTCAGTCTCGTCTTTCAAATTTGCCAAGTAATTTTACAGAAGCGGATTTACTTGATCTGCTAACTGCATTATGTCCACCTACAGTTTACACAGCACCAGAAATGCTCGCTGATGTTTCACTGTCAACTATACGTACATCTAATTCATCAGATAATCTTATTGGCTATGAATTAGTTCATCGTCTTATCAATTTCGCTCTCAAACAATTTAAACATGCTTCTAATCGTGCAAGACAATCATGTTATTCATTAGAATCGACTAATGCTGAGCTGAAAAAAGCTTTAGATGAATCAAAGCAACAAGTTAATCAATTGGTGGAAACTATTGATGGATTAGTTGCAGATCAACGTCGTTATCGTGATACTGAGAGCAATCTTAATTGGGAAATTAAAGTTAGTTTTTTCTCTGTTATTTAACTTGTAATCATTCAAAAATATTTGTTTAACGACAAACGGGGTTATACATGTTTCTTAATGAACGTTATATCAAACATAGATCGTGTAATTGTTAACAGTTTGATGTATCATTTGTGAGTATTCTTTCGTCCGTCAATTGATATAGTCATTCAAACAAAATATTGATTTTCGCTTTTGTGCAAGTGTTAATATCACATTCTCTGTCTGTGGTATTTAAGTCTTGTTTATTGATAATGTGGTCGAAAACCTAATTTTATGCAGAAAGATAGTTTGTTAGTTAGATTTTCGCATAATTGATTTTATTATACCCAATAATTATCTCTTTATATTATTTACGAGTTTATATGATACATGTAATTATGTCTAGAGTCATTTCAGTTCTGAATTATTACAGATATTGACCCAGATTGTCAAGATATCAAGTGGAATATACTTTCAATTCATTAGTGTTTTTTTTATGTTAAATTGCTTGTATTAATTAATAATAAATACTCATTATGGGGGGCACATAGTTGTGTTAATTGTATTGAGACGATTTATTTTCTGTATATATGTAATTTATCCTGTTGATCGTAATGTGCTTTATTTCCTGTTTCGGAAGTATGTTGGTATTTGGCTTATTCATCTATTCATAAAACCATGTCAGTACCACGTTGAAAAACCGTCCCACGTAAAGAGTTCTGGGTAACCTTTGTATATTGATGTGGCTTATAAGCCTAGTACACTGAACATGTCTGGGTATAGTTGTGTTTCACATCGTCTTCATATTTCCTATATCAATGTCGTCTAATTGAGTATCAGAAAATTAGCAGTTGTATGATGCAAGGCTTACTTTTGTAGATGTGTTCAACTAATGTAAGAGCTTCTATAGCTAACCGTTTTTTTTTAATATTCATTTCTGCAGGAATTGAAACAAAAGCTTGAAGATTCCAAGAATTATCAACGTGATTTACACCAGAAGTTTTTGCAATTTGAAGACAAATACTTCTCAGCACGAGAGAGGTTAAAAGAAGAAGAAAAGGTTTGCAAATCACTTTTATCCCAGTTTCTTGAAGAGGGGAACTAGAACTTATCAGTCAAAAGTTATGTAACTTGTAGCTGTAGAAAGTTAATTTTACTTACACGCGACCATGACAGTCTAAATTTATTGCACAACAGCAATTGTTAACGAATAACCTAGATAACGTTGTTGTTTGTAATGAGCGTTTTCGTCTCACGATTAACTAATGTTTTCGAGTCCAAGTCAGTGAAAGAATTAAAACCATAGCCTTTGTATTTACTGTCGTTTTTGTAACAGAAATGCAGACTTGTCATTGTCTTCAATCTCTACTACGTAGTGAACTTTCGTATAATTGTACCAATGTAGTCCACTAGCTTTGAATGATTATGCTTAAAATTGATTTTTAAAATATTATAGCCAAAGTATGTAGACAACTCCGTTTGATTGAATTAACTTGAAAACTTGTATTATTTACAGTATTTTGTTTTTCTTTTATCCGAGTCTCCAAATATTTTTTTCGTCACCCTGAGTAAAATCATTGATAGGAATAAGTTGAAAAAACTAAGAATATCCAAACTACGACGTTTCATCAATTCAGAAGATAACTGACTCGTGGACTAAACCTTTTTGACAGACTCAGACCATTAGATTGGAGTCCACAGTCATCGTAACCAGTGGTTGGAGACATTAGGTGGTATGACTTATAATCAATCGAAGCGGCATAGATTCTTTTACTCTTTGTTTTCCGTTATATCTTGAATTTCAAAATTACCTCATACTTTGCATCCTTTAAATTCGTTATTTCTTGCTGAATCATTTTGTTCATCCACAATCTTTTCTGTTACTACTTCTATCACTTACATTTATCTTGATAATTTCATCTCACTATACTAATAGTTTGGTATGAAAACTTGAAGCGATACTCATGAGTACTGGGTCCTACGCTGCTTACGACTAACTGGTTGGCTATGATATTTGACTTATTATCATTATGTCAATTATTTGAATTCTTATCAAGTTATATTTGTTACTTTAAGGAATTAGAGTCAAAATACGTATTCCATACATTCTATCGACTTTATTTTACTAATTCACTTTTTGTCTTATAGAAAAACAAAGAGATTACAGAGAAACTTGACCAAGTGACACTTAACTCAGTGCCAAATCAACAGGATAATTCATCCGAAGTGCAAACACAATCGTAAGCTCTTCTGTAATTTTAAATCTACTTTTGGTTTTTAAAATATATCTTTTTATTATCAAAATTATCTCGGAACCAAATGATTTGTACATCAATGATACATTCACGTATGAACTCGGTAGTATACTTGTTTACCTGTAGTATATTTTGTGTTGTTTATATGATTCATTGTAAATTTTAACAGTACCTCATAATAATTTAAGCAGTAGGGAATTTCAAGTTAGCTATGTCCTCCAAGAATACAATGATTGTTGGTTAACTACTTTCAGTGGTATGATACTAAATCACTCTCTTCAGTAAACACCTAGGTTATTTCAAAATCTGTTGATGTGATGTATTTTTATTCTTCTTTGTTTTGATCCGATGCTTTATTGTTAATGGCCATTGTGTTTAAAATCGCTATTAAGATGAGAGAGATATTGTCAAAATTATTTTAGCCATATTTACATTGTCTGTTTTGCTTTTCTTTTTGCAATGCCTCACTGGTACATTGCAAAATTGATAAATGATTTTCTTTAAACAACAATTCATCTTGTTAGTCGATATCAAGTTTTAGTAGACTATGAAAAAACGAGTAATAACTTTTTGATTACTGTCATTAAACATATATGATTGAAGTTTTGCTATTTCATAGTCACTGATACAGTTGATGATGGTTTTTCTTATTTATATAGTAGTTGTCAACTTAGTTTATTGGTTGAACGTAATGAGGAATTGGAACGAGAACTTGCAGCTTTAAGAAATGCCTTGCAAGAAGCGACACAACAAAATGGGTCCGAATTAAGTGAATTGAGAAAGCAGTTGGATAATGTAAGAACAGTAAGTACTCTTCGATTACGTCCTTTTTATCGTTTGATGAGTAGTTCGTGATATTTTTTAAATTGATTATGATCATGTGTATACACTATTGTGGATGGGGAAAAATGCTATTAAATCAGCTCTAGAAGCCATGAAATAAATCCAAGTTGACAATAAGATGTATAATAAATTCATTCAGATTGACTTAAAGTTGATAAAATGACTTGGTATATGCTAATTTTTGTTCAAATTCAATCATTTATTGTTCTCGTGACGCTCCATAAATTAAAATTAAGTGTAAATCATAATAATGAACAATATATTGTCACACTTTACTGTGTGTGTACATTTGTGACCTTAAGACCAAAGATCAAAGCTTTTGAAATCATTGAGCAAAATATTTCAAAAAATGTTATAATCAATGTTACATATGATATTGTTACCTTTTTCCCATTATAACCTAAATGTTTTTATTCGTTCACTTGTACTGTTATTTTTGTAACTTGATCATATTCTTTTAATCGTACTAAATGTTTTTATTTGTATTTTGTAATTTCATCAATTTCACATATTTCTCCAACAATTTGCAGTTATCTACTATTGTTTTCTTTTTTTTTCAAGGAGAAAGAGCATTTATTTAATGATACGCAATCTGAACGTCGTCAACTAGAAGAACGAGCAGATAAAGCGGAAACGCAATTAAAAAGCTTACGAGATCAAATTGCAGTTATGCTTACTGAGCGTGGTCGTTTAGTTTCACTTTCAGCAATCGACTCTCAGGTTAGTTAAATTAAATTACTTTATGCGATATAACTTTTTTTACATACAAAACTCATTCGTTGTATGGCCTTTCACTGTTATTTTAAATAGGATCCTCGGTATATATGTATCTAGATCTTTCCACAAGTACGACGTCGTTCTGTTCTGATTACCTTTTTCATAGGATGCTTATTACTTTTATATGCATTCTTAGATGTCTTTGTCTGTAGGATTGATATTTACCTAAAAGTTTCCCCAGTTGATATAGATTATTATGACTGATACCATATTATATCGTTTAACTAATAATCTACTTTCGTAGATGAAATTCTTACCTTTTCTTATATTGTGCATCATGTAACTAATACAATATATTCTGTGATGGACATTGAATTGATTTTGTTGGTTAGTTTCAAAAAATTCTAAAACTGTAGTCCTAATTTCTAAGACTTTTTTCACACATGAAAAAAAGATTCGTTGTCAATTTTGTGTATTATTTTAATGTGGTTGATAGAGTCGGGTTTTCTTAAATTCATTCTCCTGTTTGCTTATTACTTTATTCTTTTCCCTTAAATTATTTTAGCGCTTATCAGATATGCAACTACAATTAAATGACGCAATAATAAAAAAAGAATCTGCTGAAATTTCTCTTCGTGAAGCAACACTTCGACTGGAAAGATTAAATACGACACATAATCAAACGGTATAGTTTCACTGCTTAAATATTTTCTTTTGAAACTGTTTTTAGTCTAGTGTACATTTTATTGCTTTGTAATTACTTCAAGTTAATATGGATGATGTTAATAGCCTAGTTTTATCTTTTGACCTTTGTTTTTTTCTTGTGAAACAGCTTGTTCTTGATCAAATGAGAAATGAATTTGAATCAACAAGGTCTCAGTTGAGAACTGCTCAAACTGAACTTATTCAGTATAAGCAAAATGAGGAATTGTTACGGTAAGTGTCTTCTTTATATATTTTTGTGTTGGGAAATGTTAAAAAACGTTCTTTTTACATGTTTGCATGAATTATATTTCTTAAGTAATTTTACCTGTAATTTATTTTTTCTTGTGTATTCTTGCTACTGATATTCTATTTTAGTAAATAATCAAATAATATATGATTATTGACAAGTGTTTCATGTATTCTATTCACTGTGACTTCATTATTTGTTATCTATTTTCAGCGAACGCGTAGCTAACTATGAGCGTGAGATTTCTGACCTGAAGCAAGAAGTGACACTTCTGCGAACACGACATGATCAATTACAGGCTTCTATTGCTCTAGGTCATGTGAGTCCGTTGATAACTCTTGCATTCAGATCACCTGTTTATTTTCGTATAACGCCATGTCTTTTCATCGGTGTATCAATGATTTATTCTAAGAGTTGTAAGCTGAGTATCAGGTTTTTCTGTTGTTTTAGTGCTGAATTCTCATTGATTAAGCGTCACACTTTGATTGTATTGATAATTTAATCATCACAAAATTAGTCTTGTGAACTGTTTTATATACTGTATTTAGTTTACAAGTTGTACATTAAGAAGTCAGAAAATTCAAACTAAAATTAACATCCAATTTTTCACACATCGAAGAATATTTTAAGACAATATCACTTATTTTTGCAAATGTCAGCCACTTCCCATTTCAAATCTGTACAAACTTGAATAGATAGTAATGACTTCTAAAGGAGGTCCTTATGATTTTGAAATACAACTTATTTCTATGAAGTATATATTAGATTTTCAATAGTTTAACTTCATATCCTGTACATCTTTGTTAATTACTTCCGTATATCATTTTTCATACTGTACAGACGGCTGAAAATTCATCTGAAGTGCATAATCAATTAGTTACTCTCACTGATGAGAAACAAACACTCCAAGACGAGGTAGGTTTATTTCTACTTTCATTGTTCAGTTTTTGTTTGATCGAGATAAACTGTCAAATTAAATTTCATTAATCTTATATTTCAGATAAAGCAACTGCGGACTCAAGTTGAACGACTTCGTCTCAATAATACACAACTTCTCAGTCAACGTGATACTGCTCGTCAAGACGCTCGAGAGTCAGAAATGGCAATAGTGCGAGCTAAAGAACTAGGCGAAGCGACGCAACAAGCACTTGAGCGTGAGGTTCACCGTCTTTCTACTATTACAGAACAACAAGGGAAGTTGATCAATCACATGCGTGGTCTTCTACCCCCGGAATTCAATAACACACATCGTAATTGCTCTGCCGATGGTAGTTCAGATTATCAAAATCCTGAAGGCGGTAAACGACGGGCTAGTAAATTTATAAGTTCTAAAAGTCGTCGACCAGGTGCTCCTTTGATTTCAGCGGCATCTGCTTTTTTCAATAAACACCGTAAACGTGAATTAAAGACTGAGTAAGTTTGACTTGTATTTTTTATTAAAGCTTTTCATTTTTGTAAAATAAGTTTCGTTTGTGTTCATTTTTGCTCTGTCCGCGCTAAGACGTTTTTAATATTATATTTTTTAACTACAGATCTAATCCTGAGAATGTTGAATATTCATCATCTAATGAGTTTACAAGACAACCCAGTCGTATACAAAAGATGATGAGCAAAACACGTCTTAACTTCAAAAAGCATTCTACTATGCCCGTTAAAGTAGATTATTCTGTAAATGCACCTTATTATACAACATCTGCAACTGATGAGTGTTACATGGAAGATTATGATCCGCTAGGATATGATATATATTCTGCTGATGATGCTGATTTTGATGATGGACTTCCGTTTCCCGTTCCTTCAACCTTTGCTGTTCCACATGGTCGACCACCTAGAGCAAGTGATAATGTGTCAAATACTGGTAGTACATCTTCCGCTCCAAGTACAGCCAGTTCTGCTCCAGCTGGTCCAGTAAAATTTGTCCGTGATCATTCATGGCACAGAAATCGATCAAAGATTCATGTAGGTTGGGCAGATGGTAATGATAAACCGGAATTAAGTAAAGTAAGTTTCTCAGCTGAATAGTTTTAAATAAATTTGCTATGAAAATGATTTACATTTTTCTAGTCTTAAAGTTATTGAATTTCAAATATAAATCTGATCATAACGTTTATTTTACCCTAAATCATTTGTACTTTCCTATTCTCTAAATTATGAATAAATATTGGTTTATTCTTGAAAAAAAAACCCAAGTAATCTGAAATAATCGTGAGAATTCCACTCTAGTTCGCTGTACAAATTAATTCTCTAAATAAATTATAACATTCTATCCTAGTAGATATAGAATTTTGTCAATATTCTATTCAATACAATTAATGTTTTATTATAAGTGTTTATAGTTATCGAACACTGAAGTGTAGTTTCATGTACTCTGAAATGTTTCAAGTCAGGGAGTCATTTCATCGCCCTCGATAATGTGACATGTTTTTATCTCTTTTGTTAAACCGAAGAAAAGGTTTATACAAGTGCAGAATTATAATAATATATATGGCCTAATTTATATTGATAATTAAATTTATATCCGTAAGAAATGAAAAATTACTGAGTCCTTATAATCGTCACTTTTGTAAATACAGTGTACATAAAGTTCGTTTGTATTCATCTACATATGAAAGAGGGAGATTCGAAAGTGAAAAAGAGAATTCAGCGAAGAAAATTTTCTTTTCGACGAAATCATTTACTTAAGCTGTATATTCGTATGGATATGGGATATGGAAAATGTTTGTCTATAGGAGAATAGAAAAAATTGCACCACCAAAATGGATTCGAGGATAAATAACAAATGAGGTTACGTACTAATTAAGGGGTAAGGAAGAAAATCGTTTATGGGTCTATTATTATGACCTTTGTGTTTGTCGCTTTTCTTCGAATTTGTCAATTGGACTATTATCTGACGCATAAACGATTTTCTTCCTTACCGCTTGAATAGTACGTAACCTCATTTGTTATTTATCCTCGAATCCATTTTGGTGGTGCAGTTTTTTCTATCCTCCTATAGACATACATTTTCCATATCCCATATCCATACGAATATACAGCTTAAGTAAATGATTTCGTCGAAAAGAAAATTTTCTTCGCTGAATTCTCTTTTTCTTATTCAATGGCACTATGGGTTATTTTAATTATCTGGAGATTTAAAAGTGTTTATGTCCCTATGGAAATAATATTTAAACATAATTACATTAAAAAGAAAAATCTCACTGTTGATCATCCAACTGACAGAATCAATGTAACTGCGAATTTATCAAATCACAACTATATTGTAGCTTTAATTCTGACCATTATTTTCAAAATGTTTTGTGAAATTACAATATATAACATTTATTCAGAGTAAGCCCCAATTCTATTCTACCTATATATGCTCTTCTATAGATTGTCCTCAGGGAATAAGCCTTGTCATATTTCTATACTTCGTGAGTATTTTATGAATTTCATTTTCGTGCTCGTGAACACCTCCCGGCGTGGCTAAAAAAAGACCTAGCGGAGAAATTAAACAGCTCGATTTTGGCCCATTTAGTGTAAACTCGTCATAGTGCCAGTATAAGTCAATCTTTTTCGATCATTTATGAGGTCAGTAATTTTTTGCCAAAGCCTGTCAGACTCAAAGTCCTTCAAACGGCAGAAACAGTAGCCTTCCAAATTAAGAAACTGGAGCTATATGTATATATCTTCAACCGCTTCCTATACCTTGGCCAACCTCAGTAATTTTAACTATTGAATGACTTAATTTAACTAGTGTACTTACAACCTTTCTTAGCCAAATATAATTGTATCTGTCATCTGTGTATTATTATTATCGCTACTATTATTGGTTTGGCGTCATTACTAATCTTCCAATTGCATGATTTATTTTCTTAGTATTCATTCCACTTTATTATTTCTTACTGATTTCATTTAAATTCTTAACATAATCTAGTCTTGCACGAAACATTTGATCTAATTAGTAATTGCTTTCTTATTTTTCTCACCCTATCTGACCCATATTTATTCTGATCAAGATTCTCACAATTTCATATAACGTATAAGCTGATTCAAGTTAACATTCCATATGAGTCATATCAACATTAACAATTTTATCGTATTTTGTTTATCACAATCCTACATTCACATGCTGTGACCTTAAATGATGAACTTGGCCAATTTTTGGGATTATTTGGATATATAATTGTCGTTCTGAATTTTCTGCTTATTATCTCCATTGTTGTTTTTTTAATCATGTTATTGTACAGTTAATTATCAATAAACCTCTTGAAGTTTTCTTTTAGTGTGATTTTTAGATTATTTTAATTTTAAAATCAGAATAACATAAACATGTGTTGTTGGCACGCCATAGTTTATCATGCGGTCAAATTTATTGTCATTATATAGTTATATGTATATATAAATTCTTACAAATCTCTGATTTCATTTAATGCTATAAACTGTTCCGATTTTATTCTATTTTATGTACATAGGTGCCATCAGTTTTGAAGCATCGTGTAAGTTTTCAGTTTTTTTTTCTTTAAAAACTAATTTACGTAAAATTCTTCATGAAATAATTATATAGGCTGTTATATTTATTACACAGTAAGCTAATCATCATTACCGTCAATAAGAACATTTGAAAAAATATACTTACTTTTTTAAAAGTGGATGGTAACATATTAAATGTTATTATCTTTACAATATCTTATTTTCAGAATGTGTTTTGTGGAGATTTTAGAAATTTTCACAGATTGAAATCATGAGTTAGTTGATGCTAGACCACCATTGAAAATTTCTTTTTTCTCAGACTATTATTATAAAATTATCATTGTAGTGAACTATATTATTGAAACAAAATTTTAATGAATGAGTGTATTCAACCTTTTGTCTCATGTTAAAAGATATTTGTCCATACATATACTCAACCATCGTCCACCTTGACATTCAATGATGACTGATGTATGAGTAAACTAGGAGTTGTCAAGCCAAGATATGCTATCAGTCCATGAAACCATGGACTGTTGGTTTGGGTCATACTGGAAATCTTAGACTATCTTGTATGGGTCTGGATAATAACCATGTTTAATGGTTGAGGGGACGTTAACTTTCGTGGTTGAAAGTCAGTTCCACTAGTTTAAATGAGTTTGTTCTCTATTGTCTTGAGTTTTAGGATTATTTCATACCTTTTCATTCTTCGATTTCCTCTTTATTTCACATCATATTCTGTAAATATACACTTTTCTTGTTGTTATGATTGCGAGTATTACTTTGATGCGTTTACTTATGAGTATCGTTAATTTCATATCATTGTGATGTTGTAGTGTAGCAACTTGAATGAACGTAGGTCTGCCCCAGGTCCTACGTAGATAATGACATGGCGATATATTGCTGCCATATACTTATATACCTGCTTCGGTTTGGGCACCCGAGCAGTATCACAGCCCTCACACATATCAAATGAGATCTGTGTAGCGCATATGTATTTGGTGCCTCCTTGTACCAATATATATGTGTTAAAATAAATAAATATATTTATATAACTCCCTAAATAACAGTTTATTCCGTTTAATTGAATTGTCATAGAATATGATTTAATATTGTGTAGTTTTCTTTTGACTTTTATTTATCTTATAAACAATTATTTTCCAGGGTCAACCGAAAATACTGAAACAATTGAGTAAAGTTCTAGGTCGTGGCAAACAATCTTCTACGCACCTTGATCCTAATCGACTTGATGATTGACTGTTTCCTCACTAACAGTGTTTTTATGTTTGTGTTTATTTGTACCCAATATTTGTACTCCACATTAATCGGTTAAACTTTTAATATCATATCTCTTGGTCATATTATCCATGCATACATATATGCACTAATCTATACACGGCAACTTTATTTATGCGCGGATTTATCTTTTGTTTTCCGTGGTTTATTATTTTAATCAGATATGAGAGTGATTTTTTCAATATAAATATATGTATATATATGCATACATATACAGTTTGTTTGTAACTGATCCTGTAACCGTATTGTTTTTATTAGTATATAATTTCTTTTAATGTTTTTGCGCTTTTTCCTCGAAAATTAAGAAGTGAATGTTTTTCATGGGGGAGCGGTCAGTCAGTCGGTAACAACGTAGGATTCGTATGTACGTACATCAGTTCGAGTTGCCATACCTTACCTTACAGCTATACATATAGTTGCCTCATCGAATCACCATTTAACATTGTAGGTGCTCTATTCTGAGAATAATCATCATAGACCATTTTGTCGAACAATCTAATAATATATATAATGTTTTGATTGAAAGTTTTATAATTCAACTGGGTTTCGTCACAAATTATGTGAGCATTAAATTAACGGCAATTCCGGATTATATACTTGAGTAATTTAACAAAAGAATAAGGGTTACAAAACTGATTCTGCTTTTCACCTTTTTCCAGATTTTGAATTCATTCACAGGATTCAATTAATGTTCACCTGTATATTGTTTAGTTGTCACTAGTAACTATAATATAGCAACCGTATTATCTTAATGTAAACATAAGTTATAGATTGAATTTACAATTGTGTTCTTACTAAATATTTTACTTTATTTTTAAATCTGCATTCATCGTTTCAATTGATATCAATTATGTTTCAAGGAAATATGTCAGATTACTACGCAAAGGTGGTTGATGAGATAGTTTATAAATGTGCGCAAAGGCGGTCAGAAGTGCAATAGTTCGAAGTTATTTTAGGGGATCTTGGAGTTTAATCTTAGGAAATGATGCTCAAACAACTTAAGTTGCTTATATAACAGAATAACTATGCTTGTTTTCTGACACTAAGCACACAGAGGCTTGCCGAAATTTTGTGGAGGTATTTTCCACATTTATGCAAGATTTCGATGACTAGACCGTACTTTAATTTTCTATTTGCTTCATTTTCTTTTGACATTGAGGTTACTTAATTACGCTTGTCAATCCTCGTGGAGCATAGGCCGTCAATCTGGTATCTTCAGCCTACTCGACCCTGGGCTCTCCTTTCCACTTGTCTAGTGCTGTTCGTTCTATTGATGTCTTCCCTTGGGGATTCCGTGTTAGGGATTACCCAGCGATGCAGTTCTGTAAAATGTGACCTATCCGCCTCGGTTGTCTGTTTCAGATTTCCTATCCAGCTGGGAGGTGGTTTTATCGCTGCTATAGTAGGTTATTGTTGGTAGTCTCTGGCAATTAGATCTAGAGTATCTTTCATAGAAAGCTGTTCATCAATACCAGCACCTTTTTGATGTTATTTATAGTATTTTCTCAAATTTCAGATCTGTACAAAAAACTGCTTTAGGTTTCTTGTCGAAAATTCTGCCTTTGATCTCGAGTGACGGTTCTTTGAGTTCTAGATATTCCTCACTAGTAAGAATACTTCCCTTGCTTTGCCAGTCTGTGCCTTCACATCTGTATCGGACTCTCCTTGTTTATCAGTGATGCTCATGTGTATATAAATTTCCACCTCTTCCAGAGCTTCATCAAATGTGATTTGGTTGGTGCCGGCTGTGTTGTATCTTAGGATCTCACTTTCTTCTTTGTGAGTGTTGAAGCCTACTACTGCTACACTGGCTGTCTGCTCCTGCATTGGTTGCTGTGTATGTATAGAAGTGGCAAGGCTTCTGCGAAATTTAAACCGTCTGGCTGAATTCATGCTGTCCATTGTATTCCGTGCTTCCCCTGATTTGGGGAGGCCTTCATAATCCAATTAACCACTAGAAGGAGAGAGAACAAAAGTAAGTAGCTTTATCTGACAACCGTTATCTCGTGGAATGCATCTGTTTACTGCTTTCTTTACACTATGCAGTGTAGTCTGTTGCAGGATTACCATATGAAAATCTCAGGCGCATCATAGTATCGGAGAGGATTTTCCTATCTACTCTCTCAAATGCTTTCTCATATTCAAGAAAGTTGTTGTATGGTAAGGAGTTCGATTCTGTTGATTGCTCAATAACGATCCTTAGTGTTGCGATTTGGTTGGCACACAAAATGGGATCTTACGCAAGTCAACTTGTTGGTCTCGAAGTTGGGAGTTCATTGAATCGTTCTTTGGTTCAGTAATGCCGATGACGACTTTTCCTGATATGAATAGTAGTATGATGCCTCTATATTTCTCACACTTACTATGATTTCTTTTCTTCGATATCTTGACAAGTTATCCCTCCTTTCAATCTGCCAGTATTTGTCCTTCCTCCCAAATCGTCATGAAGTGGATTTGGAGCATTTTTTGCAGTTTACCTACATATCTGGCCTCGGTGCTTCAGCTGGTATGTTGTTTGGTTCTGTTGCTTTGCCACTATTGATTTGTCCGGCGGTATTGATTTCTGTTAGTGGGATAACATCTATAGGAGGGTCTGTGTGTGCTACTTCAGCTTTTGGTGTGCTCAGTGAATCTGATCTGTCAAAGAGCTCTTCAAGGTGTTCTATCCATCTGTCTCGCTACTCTTGAATTTCGGTGATTGGTTTACCTTCTCTGTTCTTGACTGGTCTCTCTGGTTTACTATATCTTCCTTGCTAGCTCCTTATTTTTATCAAGATGTTTTCTGTTTTCCTCCTCTTTCAGCTTTTTTCCATGTCATTGCTAGATCTTCCACGTATTTTTGTTTATCAGCTCTAATGAGCCTATTCACTCTTTTTTTCCTTCTGTTTATTCGACCCGTGCCTTAACGTCCTCTGCTCTTGTTCGGCTGCTGTTGATTGCTGTTTTATTTTTCTTCCTTTTTTAATCTTGCTCGGTGTATCAGCAGAGATTCACTCCTTATACTGGTGCTTCTTATGCTCCAACACCTCCTACGATTTAAAGTTATACGTTTCCTGATAACAATGCATCAATGAAAAACTGCACACTTACACTCATAGACATTGTTAGCACTGAAGATCATATAATTATTTATTAGCTTCATCAATAAATTGGCTATATCAGTACTTTATTAATCACACTTTGTATGTGCAGTCCGCCTTATATGATATCTGCGTTCATGTAGCTGTTTAAAAAAGGAGTTAACCAACCTCTGATTCTAGAATGTACGATTTGTTCAAAAGTAATGGATTAATTTTATTCTGTAAGTGCTTGCGTAACCGTTCTTTAGATGGTTAAAGTCTGTCGGTCGGAAACGCTGGTCTGAACAATCATGATATTGATTCCTATTCCATGATTAATCAACATGAACATTTCAGTTCTAAAAAAGGCCAGTCACTGCCTGAATAGCTCAATGGTAATGCCTTGAGTTTTGAAGCTGAGTGGTAAGGATTTCTTATCAATCTAGAAACATCAGGTGCACCTTGCTGATGAGTGATAAGTAATACGATATCTAGGTCTGGAGTTTCATGTTGAGTGTCTTTAACCACCTAACACAACAGCCCACACTATATCGAGTCACTTACACTAGTGGTCACATTGTAATTGAATCCGCAATATTCAATCAACACTAAGGTCTAGATAAATATGACTTAAATCACCACTCAATGATTATTCAGTTTTTCGTAAATGTGCTACTTAAAATGATTAACAAGGTATAAAATTTTTTAACAAAACACTAACCTTTTAGGGTATATTCTAACAGACACTTCATGCTAGTATCATGTAAATAGGTATAAATTACATTTCTTTTTCTCCCAGACAATCGTCAATTTAAAATGACATTAATATCAAAGATATCAGTCTAGAATAATCACTTCTCTATTGATGTTTTCTTCATTATGAACTACTAAATAACCTTTTTCAGAAATCGGAATTACTGAGCGTAAAACATATGAATTAGATATGACAATACTGAATATCAATACAATCAGTTGGTTTTTGTTGTGGTAATAACATTAATAGCATTTAGGAATGATAGAAGTAACTGTCAATAAAATATAAAAGACAAATTACAAACTCATTAAATGAAAGCAAAAAAGTAAATTTATAAAAAAAAACATGTTTGTGTATGGAAAAGACAAATAAGAAGTAGAAACAAAAAAAATCCACTTTTAATGTAACATACTCTGTCAAGATTTTCATCATCCAAATTCACTTTTCTGTTTTCTATTATGGAATGTTGAATAAGGTCTACGTTATCGTTCCAACCGACCTTGCACACATGTATATATAAAAATGAATTATTTGTTATCCAATGAAACACAATATAAAAAGAGGTTTATCATAAAAAAAGATTGGAAGAATTAATTAATCACAGGAACTAACATGATTGAGATTTATTATTTATTTCATTTATTCTATTTAATTTCTTTGTGTAATTGGTTAAGCATTTGAAAAAGTGGTACTGCACACTAGCATATATCCCTTTATATAAGTACTAAATAAATACAGAATAATGCTGAATGGTATTTCAAAGGTAATTGACAGATTTCAATGTTATTCACAACATTAAATGTTTATCATAAATGCAATTTTAGTAGGAAAAAAAGAAACTGACTTTTGATGGTTTTAAGGAATTAGTAAACTGTAATAACACAGAGACCGGTGCATTATCAGATGCATGTTGTGAAAGTAAATACACACGAAAATGATATATATATATATATATATATATATATATATATATATATATATATATATATACTTTTGACGGTTTAGAAATTTCGATAAAATAGTTTTAAAGTCTTTTTTACACATTTTGACTGTTTGTTTTTAATTCATTAATCAATTGTAGTTAACTAATTTCATTACAATCGGTCATACTGTAATATTGTTCTTCAATATCTTCGTCATTATTACTATTATTGATATCATTGTCTCCGTTCATTTCAATATCTGGTGTTTCTAATGTAGCCTCTTCAATTTTCATGGACTCTTCATTCATTAGATCAAAATCGTCTTTGTAAATACTATTCTTATTGCATAGGTCAGAAGCAGTACTGTTTTTAATACTACTACCCGTAGTTATAGTAGTAGCGGGAATTGCATCAGTAGTAGTAGTAATATTAGTAGTAACATCTGAACCTAAATTAGATGTTGATTCTTTATTCTCCGGTTGATTATGATGTAATAATGGTGATTGTGATTGTTTTCCAGCTTGTAATCTATCCAAATAATCTAAACACTCTGATGATGTTAAATGAACAGTGATATTCATTTTAGGATCATGTGTTGGATGTGTTACTTCAATATGTCTAACTAAATGATCTTTACGATAATATTCTTTTTTACATAGATTACATGTAAATGGTTTAAAACCAACATGTTTCAATGAATGTCGTTGTAGATTAGATCTTTGTGTAAAATGTGCTGAACAAATTGTACAACGAAATGAATTATGCGCTTCAATTGTATGCCGATTTAATTCAGCTAATGATGAAAAATTACGACGACATTGATTACAAATAAAACGACGACTAAGAACTAATCTTCGACCAAATAAAAAATTACTATTAGCAGTTGTAGTATTAGTAGTAGTTGTTGTGGTGTTAGATTGTTGATTTTGTTGCACTGATAATTTCATATTTTCATTTTTATGATTTTTTGTTGAATTTAATTTTGAAAATTTATCTGTTGAATGATTATTTAATGAATATAATGGACTAGAACTATTCGATAATATGCTTGCACTTGAAGATGATTTAATATGAGTTTTCTCTATTGTTATTATTTCATTATCATTCATTGTTCCATTATCCAAAGAAATATGATTATTATTAATATGGGTATTTACTATTGTTGGTACAGTTTGATTATTTATTATATTGAAATTTGTAGAATTTGTATTATTACTAGTAGTATTATGATTTGTAGAATTATGAGTTGATATTGTTGTAAGAAGGTTACTATTAAATAGTTGGGATAATGTTGAGAGTGTTTTAAGTGATATATTATTATTGTTATTAGACGAAGCATTGAGAGTTAACTGGTTGATTAATGATGCAATTGGTTGATTTAAATGTTTTATACCTGGCATTATACCTACAGTTTCAATTAAACCTGTTTGCTTATCTTTGACATTGAATAATGTAGCAGTGGTATTTGTCGATCCTAAACTTATTGATGTAATATTCGAGGGTGATGATGATAATGATGGTGTTGATTGCGTCAGTAATGCTTGTGAAAGTGTAGATGTTGATGTTGTTCCGAGAAATGATGTAGATGGTAAGAAAGCATTAAATTGATCAGTATTACTATTATTGTTACTGGTACTACTATTACTAGTAATATTTGTATGAAGTGAAAATGGATTTATTAATGGGAATCCTATAACAGATGCTGTATTTAAAAGCGACTGGGTGTTAACTGTATTGTTTGTTAATGAACCTGCGATTGTATTTAAAACTGCTGTCGAAGCTGATTCTGTTGTCGTTGTTTCTGTTTGTTTTGGTATTATACTACTCAAATGTGTTGTAAGTAAATTATTGGTTTGTTGGATATTTTGTTGCAACTGTGTTGGATATAATTGGTTGAATAGCAAATTGGCATTTGTCGACATACCTGTATAATTATAAGTGATAGGGTTTGATTTCGTTGTACTTATTGCTGTCATTGGAGTAGGAATAGTGGCAGGAAGCAATGACAATGAACTTGGATTTAAAACATTTTGATATGCTAAAGTATTTGTACTTTGTTGGTTTGGCTGTATTTGTTGAGACTGTTGTTGCTGTAATAATGGAAGTAATGCTAATATAGACGCATCAAATAATGGAATTTGATTAATCGTATTAGTTGCAGATGTTGTCGCCACAACTGTATCCAAAGCTTTTGTCGAATTCATATTGGACTGTACAAGGCTAGATGATAACAAGGTCGATGGTATACAACATGTATTGATTGAGGATTTTGTTTCACTAATTACACCGTCAATAATTGATTGTGACTTATAATCTTCTTTTATTGGTTTTGTATTCAAAGAATCTATATGATAGTCCATGGAATCAGATGTTTCATTATGTAGAGACAAGTCTAATGCATCAGCTTCATTTGAAGTACTTTGTTGGCTAGTTGAATGTTCAAGAGATATTGCACTTAATATAGGCTTTTTTTCATTGAGCAGCATTTCATGAATTCCACTCTTACTTTTTGGGTTATCTAAACAATTTTGAAAAATATTATTTTTGGTTTCATTACGCTTTCCTCCTCGACAAAGTGTTTCATCAATAACAACACACTCACTTTCTTGATCATCAATTGTGTAACTCATCAGTAGACGTAAACTTAAACTTTCATCATGTGGAATCATATCAGCGAGCGTCGCTAAAAGACGCATTTTCAACCCGTTTGCTTCAAGATTCTCTTGATTGTTTATAAGTGTATAACCTTGTAAAAATTCAGCACTATTGTAGTTCGTTTTTTGATAAGATTCATCCTTTGACAAGCATTCTACCGAAGCTTCCGTTCCACTATCTTTTAAAATTGATCTGTTACAATTATAGCTACTGATATTTTTGCTAGTAGTAAGTTTCTTAGAGCTAGCAACTGACGACAAAGTGTTTGTGTAAGAATTTAATAAATCGGTTTTAATCATATCGTGATCAGATGACCCATCGATATAATCAGTTCCAGTCAACTCTTTTGTTGGTGTTGACGTTTTTGGCATAATTGATCCCATGAAATTATTAATATTCATTAGCATCGCAGTTTTCTTTATTTATATGAAACTAAAAAAATAATTTTTTAAAACATTATTGTTTTGTGACAAAACAAAAGAAACTCATAATTACGATTAATTATAGAAGGAAAACATTCTATTGAATTTATAGTTCTATGGTTTTGAATAGTTTATGATATAGATAGTTGTTTTGAATTCAAAGGTGATGACCTGACAAAGTTTACCACAGATAATAGTTAACTGAATATGAGGGTTTTTGATTGCTTCAGTAAACATTGATAGATTTCGTTTTTATTATTCACATCTAAATACTTGTCATCATTTTCATAGTTTATATCACAAACTAACCCTATTGCTTTTATCAAAACTGAATAATGATTAAGTAATTATCTAAATAAGAACAACTAAGAATAATTGGAAATTGGACAAAGTTGGTTGTAGGATTAGACAATAAATAAGTTAAATACCTTAAAAGATGTTTATGACAGAAATAAAAACAGCATAGTATCAATTGAATTAGACAATGCAATTAAAATATGCCTACCGCATACAAACCTTATATATTCTACAGTAACACAATAAAGTTGTTCAATGTTTAATTGTGAAGTGTATTATTTCTTTTTTATGAATTTACCATCACCCTTCAAGTGATATTTCTAAACAGTCAATAAATGTCAGGATTAACGTATTATAGGTCATTTTAACACACCGTTAAAGTTAGTCAACAAGATTAGAGGTATACAAAGGAATATTATAAGGAAAACGAAACAAAAAATATTGATCAGAACAATAAATGATAATTAAGAACAAGTTGCATGTCACTATGGGACACTGTTTTTAACTGCAAGTTCGAATTAATCAATGTTTCTGCTATATACAGTTGATTTCTTTACAATAGCATGTTTGTTAAACTTTCTCATATTTCTTTATACATGGTGACTGATATTGAAATCATTGTTAAATTTTATTGACGATATTTGGACTACATATTTTTAAAATTTTCGACAGAATTTAGTTAATGAAGGCTATATCAACTCCTTTTCAATGTCAATAAATTTCAATTATTAGCTTTTATATTATCAAGTCATACATATAACATTTCAGACGTACTAATTGACTGAGTTACGCTTTTTAATCCAGTGTAGTTATTACTTAGAATAAGGTAAATGTAGGTCAGTGATCACATCTTTGTAATTAATGTCTACATGAATCCGTATTCAGTGAATACAAGAAGTTTAATAACTGAGTTATTGTAGATATGTTATCGACAGACAGAAGCAACTAAAGATTTATCATTATGATTTTCATTATTCTATTTACAGATGAATAAAATATTTAACACTAGACTCTCCGAAATAAGATCGAAACATCGTTGCATAGTTTCATCAAACTGAATCTTAAACTGAAAAGCAGTGTTATTTATATCATAAAACGATCTAAGATGAACCAATATTAAGGACTTTAAAGCACTAGACAACCATTTTTTCGTAGTACCTAATTCCTTAACAGCGCTCATCTACGACCATGCAAGCGGAAATCGTACAAAAGACATTCAGTATGGCATACAAACCATTAACCTTTTAACCACTGAGAGGGGATCCAACGGTGTTAATGTCGAATTTCCATAAAAGAAACCTGAACCTAATTGCAAGATATTTAAATATAGTATTATCAAGTTTTTAGAAGTAACAAATGTCCGACTGTATACAAATACTAGGTAAGTGGTCGTCCAAGAAAAATTGTTACACCTATCAATCAAAAGAATTTTAGGTGAAGTTCATTATTGTTCAGTGAATGTCAGTTTGTTAACAAGAATCTATATCCAAACTAGAGATCTGTATCATCATTTAAGTAATTCAAGTAGTAGATATTCAATAAGTGGTTAATAAATACTTAGAAAATGACATCTCATTCAAACAAACAAATCTATTTTCCAGTACATAACATTAATTCAGTAATTCAAAGTAAAAAAAAACACACATGAATTGAAGCTACGATTCATGTTATCCAGTGATGATATTCATCAAGAATTATTGAAAATGTCTCATAATCCATACTTTTAGGCATGTATACATTTAGATTGTTAATAAGCAAGAGAGGTAGGCAAAATCTTTGCGAAAATTCAGTTACATATATATCATATATATCATTAGACAATCAGTTGAATCTTCTGCATTACGATCGAATACATCATATAAACAAAATATTATGAAATTGGTGACAGCTGTTTTGTATTTATTTAATCTTCGTTAATCTTACTTATTACATAAACTTTACAGATAGCTACAGATAGCTATTAGTAATAGTCATTGTATTATTTTGATTCTACACTTTACTACTGAAATATCATATATAAGATAATAATAATAATAGTGATGGTATTATTTTTGTAAACTAGATTTAGACATTTATTTTAAGTATATTAGTTGAGAAAAAAATATTTGTTATTATATTCGTCAATTCACACTTCAAAGTGAAAAAAGGTAAAGAAGGATTAAACAACTTTGAACATTGGACATTGGAAATATGGGTATATATATATATATATATATATATATATATATATATATATATATATATATATATATATATATATCATTTGTTACATTTATGTAGATATGCGCTTGTTTTTGAATTGTTTATTTGTGATAGTTGACATCTTCTTTTGAGCATATACAAAATGGAGAAAGTGTGAAAGTAAGGGAGAGAGAGAGAGCGAGCAAGCGAGAGAGCGATAAACGATATTGAGTGATAGATAGTAAACTATTTGTGACATTTGTTTCGGTATTTTGAATTTTTGATCATCAATTTGATTTTCTAATTTTGTTTTGCAATAATAATGACAATTCATAATATCATTATTAAATAATAGCGATAATGATCTTCACAATTAAAATATCAAAGCTAAAGTGAATAGAAAAACAATTACATGTCTCAGTAAACAAATAGATTGTTTTATGAAATCATATGTGATAAAGAAAGTTGATTTTTTTTATTATTATTTCAAGATCTATGTGATTCTTATACAAATTATCCGAATAGAAATTTAGATTTTTCACTGGTTGAAATCATGAGTTAATTGAAGCTAGACCACTATGCCAAACCTGGAAGCACTGAATAGCCATTTCGTCCTACTGTGGAACTCCTTAGCTGTGCACATCCACGATCCCGCACCCCGCGAGATTCCAACCCAGGACCTATGAGTCTCGCACCCGGCGCTTAATCAACTAGACCATTGAGATGGTTGAGAAGATTTGTAGCTCAGGTGGATGATTTTTGTGGAGTTTTGTTCTCTAAGCCGGATGGTTTAGTTGTGGAGCCTTCATCGTTTTTCTGAACGACATCATCAGCACAAACTTTAGGCAGAACAAAACTCTATCAAAATGTTCTACCTTTTTTTAACAGCTAAATTTAGTTTAGATTAGGTGATAAAGTTTGACGACAGTTTACTAATGGAAAATTTATTGGGGCTAAATGATGAACTTCACTTCTATTCAAACAATTTAGTGCCGTTTGTATTCACATGTTACTTCTAAGTTGATTATGACTAAATTTTTGATTTGTTCGATCTTAATAATTTTCGTTTAAATACTGTGTTAAATTATCATAGAAAAAGATATTAAATTCGTCCGATTCATCTTCAATACTTTATTTCTATCCAGTTGTTTCTACGATTACAAAATATGCAATAGCTCTAATAGGTTTACATCATTTTGGCGAACACTGATAAAGTCTCAAACTGTGACGAAACAGATGTTAAATGCCACTCTGATTTCCATTAGTTTTGTCACCGAATTCACTTTGTAAGGCAAATTGACCTCAATGTAAACAAACTCTATAAATGTTAATAATAACCACACGTACACTAGTGACTAAACTCGAATAGACTTCTCGAAGTTTCACTGAGAAGCCTTAACCCACGCAATCCAAACACGCTGGGAGTTAGACAGGTATCTTAAGTAGTAATGGATAATTGACACTGAATATCTTAGATTAACAGAAGTTAAAAATATGAATATCCAGAGTTTAACCTCTAGATGGGTCGAGTCCCATACTAAGACGAAGCAATTGTTGCACGACTCCCCCTTACTTTTCATTGGTTATTTTGCTTAAATCAGTTTTAGGTAAAAAAAAACGACAACTTCAAATTCAACAGTTCTCACAAACCTCCTGTAGTAACGATAATAACTGTGAATTCATTACAAAGTCCCTATTCATTATTCAATGCAATCTTTATTTACTGTTTATTAAATAATCGATTACTTTTTATGGTGAGACAAAGAATTTCGATTTCATGATAAATAAACAAATGATTAGGAATCATTGTGAATATATCCAACATTATCATGTAACTATGACCATTGACACATATACACATGCGTACATTTATGCAAGTAATATATACTAATTCTCCATTCATAAAAATTCTACCCCTTGTACTAACTGTAATTTGGGACTAATTTTTAATGTAGTGTGATTATTCCATAAACAAACGCATACATAAATACACATATACAACATTTTTAAAATGAAATCTGTACTTCTAATAAGTTCAAAAGATTGAAAATTTCATGAAAACATTAAATCAATCACGCCATCTATCAACATCCTGCATGTAATAATCTATAGCTATTTCTCTGTATCTATGAGATATTGAAATATGTAATAATTTTAGGAATACCATTGAGAAATCGTAGTAATAGTGATAAAAATTGTTTAAAAAACTCAATCTCCAAATTATTTTTTTTGAAACTGACTAGTTATATTGATGTAAATGGATTACAGTTGAAAAACAACCTTTTATTTATTTCCTTATGCAATAAATCACTGACTATCAAAGTTCTACTGGAATATCATTAGTCCAAGTCAAATCTTCATTTTTTAGAAAAAATAATGTTTCTTAAGGATAAACGAAAATTACACCAACCTAATCATGATCATCATCTTTGAGACTGAACAGTAATCGTAAAAAAAACATGGAATTAGTGCTGGACCAAGTAAATCAGTGGATAACCCATTGATCATTTGAAGTGGAAGGTACTAGATTAA